CTCTGCAACCTCACCATCGGTGCGTTTTCCGCTATCGCACGAACTAACTCGCGCCCTCGTGCGTGTGGTGTGTGCGTGTGCGGTATGTGCGTGTGCGTGTGTTACTGACGCTCAGTCATTTCGATAGAGGACAAGTACGCGGCGATCGTGGGCGCTCAGCCGGGCAGCTTTGCGTTCCTATTCGGTCTGGCGTGCAAGCACCCCAGCGAACATGTACAGAAATATGCCATCCACACGATCTTCTCGCTCAGCCGAAATGGTACGCACACGGACCCCACCGCACACACACGCTGCCGCACACACGCACAAGCGCGCGCGCTGCCGAACACGCACTATGTCATAGGTTTGTATTAACACAACACACAACACACAACACACAACACACAACACACAACACACAACACACGCACACGCACACGCACACGCACACAGACAAGAACAAGGAGACCATCGCGACCAAGTGGTTCCTGGTGCTGGCCAAGCTGTTCGCTTCGCCCAACCAGAGCATACAGACCCTGGCTACCGCCATCATGGCCGAAATCTCCATCGGCTACGGTACGTACCACTACCCCCTTGCCGGTCTGTCGGTGCACACGACCATCGTTGTGTGTCATCTCACCGCACGACACGACACGACACGACACGACACGACACGACACGACACGACACGACACGACACGACACGACACGACACGACACGCACCACGCACACCATCGGTCTCTATTGACCATTTCGCTTTAAAACAAACAATTCACAGACGAGGCCAAGGCGAAGGCCACCAAAGAGATCGGAGTGCTCAAGATTGTGCCGCTCCTTAAGTCTGGCTCGAGCGAGCAGCGATACGAAGCCTGTCGCCTCCTCACCAACATCACCAACAAGCAAGGTACGCCGCACACGCCGCGCACGCACGACACGACACGACACGACACGACACGACACGACACGACACGACACGACACGACACGCACTGCGCACTCTGACTTGTTCTGCGTTGTGGTGGTATGATGTCCTCAGCTGAGGTGCAAAAGGCCGCGGTGAAGGAGGGTCTGCTTGCTCTTCTACTCGGGATCGCAACCAACCGCATCGACAACAACAGGAGAACCCAGACCGCTGCTCTGGTTCGACACGCACGCGACACACGCACGATACACACAACACACGACACACGACACACGCACAACACTCACGTTTCTTCATTTGCGCGCAGAGTGCTGTGGCGAACATTCTGGCGTTGGTGGGCGACAAGGAGACGGACATGGGCGCCGATTTTGCGCGGGAGAACGTGACAGGGGCCATCGTCACCATCCTCAAGGAGGCGCGGGGCCAGGACCGAGAGACGGAGGAGCTCCAGGAGCAGAACCTGCGAGCCATCGTCGGCATCACCAAGCACAGTACGCTCTATTTCTTCAATTTATGATTATTTATATATTTGTATGTAATATATAAATATATGTAGTTATTATCGTTTGTTTACTTATTTAAATATGACTTGGTTTTTGAATTCAACGAAATTGTGGTGGTGCAGAGGCGCTGTCGGCAGAGTTCATTGAGAAGGAGGGCGTTGAGGCGCTGACGCCGCTGCTGGGGCCGGCCAACAAGGAACTCCAGAAGCAGGCCGTGCGAACGATCAAGAACCTGTCCAAGAGTATGCTATTACTTCTCTCTCCCTTCTTCCTGTGCGCGTCTCGCCAGGAAAAACACGACACTCACCCATCCACGCACGACACGCAAACGCACAGAGTACAAGAAGCGACTGGCGGCCAAGGAAACGCTCCTCGATTCGCTTCAGTCGGTGGCGACGGAGAGCAGCTCGACCAACGTGCAGAAGGTGGCCAAGAAAACCCTCTCACGCCTCCAGTTGTCCACCAAGTAGTGGTCCTCCTCTCAGTGTTCCACCCAACATCTCATCTTCTTCTTTGTTGTTTCAGTAATATTATGTGCCTCTCCTGTTTTAAAATGACTAGTCAGCCATTCTCTGCCCTCTCTGGGAGCCCCAACAGGGCAAGAATCAGAGTTGGTGGAAGGAACAAACATAGCAAAAAATGAAGGCTCTTGAGGGGATTGAACCCTCGACCTTCGCTTTACGAGAGCGACGCGCTACCACTACGCCAAAGAGCCAACGTTGCTCAAGACCAGGAGCAGCCCCTGCTGATTGTGTTGCACCGCAGGTTACTAGGGGCGTTGCATGTTTCAGAAACCGGACAGGGAGATGCCCAGCGATTCCACAAACTCGAGCAGCTCGGCCACTTGCCCTGATGTTCGTTGGCCGCGAATCCACTTGCGCGGCACTGGCCCGACCAACAAAGGATCGGCGCCCTCTGTGTTGTGTGTGCGAAGGTGTTGTTGAAAAAGGTCAGAGATATGGAAACACACAATCAGATCGAGTGTTGGGTTGGTACTTTCGATGAGGAATGCGAGCCACTGCTTCGTCTCGGGCTGATTGGGCCGTGAAGCCTCAGTTGTTTGTACAAGAAGGTGTGGCCCCGGCTGTCTCTCTCGTTGATGTCGGCTCCGTGCTGCAACTGTTAGGATTCTCGACAGTTTAGTGTGTGCGGGTGCGTGCGCGTGTGCGATGTGCGTGCGTGTGTGTGTGTGTGTGTGTGTGCCGAACCAAGAGCTCGAGGTAGCTGGCCATATTGAGGTTCACACTAAACAGAGCAGGATCTGGCCGTGGAGTCCTAAAGCGAGGCATTCCCCGCTACAGATCACAATCTCAGTTCCAGCGAACGAAGCAAGACGCAGGAGCGCGAGCTCGATGTACCTCGAGAAGGCGGTTGATGAGCCTGTCGTCTTCGGAACTGGCGGCTTGGCCCAGACTGGTCGTCCACCGAACACGATTCAGCGCCAGACGCAGAAGGTGTGCCCTTTCCGCATCGCTTGATGGCTCAACTCCTTCAATGTAGCGAGAAAGTAAGTATATAGTGCGGTCGTGCGTGTGCGGTCGTGCGTGTGCGTTTTGTCGTGCAGTGGTGTGTTGCTGTGGGCCTAATGTTACCGAGGTCGATCAATTCCAGGACAAACTTCGAATTCTGCGCCGCCGTCGACAGGAGCCGTGAACCAACATCTTCGAGACAGACAAGATACCAATGTCAGTCAGTAAATGGAGCGTCCCACCATCAGCTGATGATGGGCAAAGAGGATGGACGCGTACCGGGTCCATCCACCTCAACACCGTGCTGCTTCAGAAGACGGATGACCTCTATTCCTTCTTGCGCTAATCCGAAAAATCTCAGTCGCTGCGCAGTAGGTGAGGTTAGTGAGTTGTGAGTGCGGCATGCGTGTGTGCGTGTGCGTGTGCGTGTGCGTGTGTGTGTGCGTGTGTGTGTGCGTGTAACTGGGGCAAAATACTCTGAAGGGATCGCCAAGCACAGGATCAGCACCAGCGTCGATGAGGCATTGGCACACCTCCACAGTCGCCGACTTCACCGGTTGCTGTAAACAATGCATCAACACTCATTGTCAGCAAGTCTAAACGTTTCGTTGAGTGTACGGGTGGACCGTCGATGTGCTGTTGGCGTACATTGAACAGGTAGTGGAACACGGTTTGTCCCCGATCGTCGACGGCAGTCGCGTCTGCGCCAAGATCGAGCAACAGCCGGGTGAAGCGCGGGCTTGCCGGACCGTGGTCCATGGCAGCGTGAAGCGGGGTGCGACCTCCCTCCTCCCGTTGATTGATATCCACGCCAAACTCGAGGAACAGACGCACGAGGACCTCGTTATGCGCTTCTGCAGCCTGATGCAGCGGTGACGGAATTGGCTGCACACGCACACGCACACACCACACGTACACACGCACACCGCACACACACACGCACGCACGCACGCACAAACGCATATGCACCACCGTTCATACACGCGTTAGTGCTACAAGGGCGTGGAGTTGAGTTAGAAGAAGGGAGGCGCCGAGGAGTACCAAGCGCGATCTGACGTCAGCCGAGGTGAAATGGACCTTGGCGCCCTGGTCCAGCAGGAACCGGACTGCGGCTGGCTGGTCACTGACCGTTGCTGCATGGAGAGCCGTGCGCTTGGACCGACAAAAGGCGTCCTTGTCTGTGGTGACACACACACACACACACAACACACACACACACACACACAACACACACACACACACACACGTGAGATGTGGCGTCGAGGTGCGCACCAACGTTGGGCCTGGGCCGTACCAACGCCTTGCTGTAACAGGTAGTCCAGGGCCTCGACGCGGCCGTACTCGGCGGCAAAGTGCGTGGCCAGCCTGCCCGTGTTCTTCTCCGCCGAGACGGGCAGGGCCGGTCCCTTCTCCCCCGCTTGCTCGACCAGGAGTTGCATGATCTTCATCAACACCACATCATCACCATCACGATCTCATCAATTAATATTTGTGTAGATTCAAATAAATATATCTCTCTATATGAAAACGGTGTGAGAATGGTCCTGTGGGGTCAACGAACCTTGACGTGGCCGCCGGCGGCCGCCTGAAAGAAGAGAGGGCCTTTGACTCGCTTGGTCTTGGTCTTGCTGTTCTTCTGGCGCGGATTGACCAATCCGGCAACGCCACTGCCCTTGGCGCCATGTAGCAGCAGAACCTTGTTTCGGATCCCTGTTAGCGTACACGGCACACACAGCGCACATGGCACACACAGCACACAGCACACATGGCACACGACACACACCACACACGCAAAGATGTAGTTTACCTCGGCAGCGTCGAGGAATCCGTTGGTGACGGCCAGCCCCACGGGCGTGTTGGCGCTGCCACAGAGTGGGTCGACGTCGGCGCCGGCCTGGATCAGGAGGCGAATCACATCGGCACTGCCGCACGACGCCGCCAGGTGCATGGGCGTGATGCCCACCTGTTTTCTGTCCTCCTTGCCCTTGGGCTGTTTACCACCGGCCGTTCCCGTTGAATTGAGCATGCCAGGACTGATACGGTCGCGCTCCGTCGCCAGCAGCTCCTGCAGCACCCGATCGTGCCCCGTGGCACAACACCACCTGGTTGGTAGGCAGGCGGCTGACGTCAGCCGATCATTAAAAAAAAGAACGAAGACAAAGAACGAAGAAGAGACAGAGAGAAAGATAAGAACCGGATGAGTCGGTTGAGTCGCGCCTCGTTGGTGGTGTCCGTGCGGCGGAGTACCGCCAGACGCTTGGCTGCCTGGGCGCTGTGCTTTCGCCAATCACCTGCTCGTTTTTTATTTTGTTATTTTAGTAGAATGCAAAAATAGATAACAAAAAAACTGAGAATTGGGGGGCGGTACCGTTGGCGGGGGCGGGGGCGGAGCGACTGAAGCGCTGTCGAAAGAGTGCCACGCAGACTCGGCGATGCCGCACCACGCGGAGCACACCACTTCCGCACGGATGAGGTCCGGAACGTCGAGCATGCCCAGCACGTGTTGCATGACCTCCACCGGCAGCACCTCGTGCACCACCACTAACGCCTTCATTTCCGTCTCTTCCATCTGCCGGCTAAACATGAGTAATGAATAACAAACATACTCCAAGTCATTTATATGTTTAAATATCTCAAAACTGCGAAAATACTGAGAATTTTTACACACTTTCGGGCCGCCAGGCAGGAACCCGAAGTGGTGTGCACGCTATGGAGATGAGAAAGAGGAACCATTGTTGAACTGGATTTCCACTCCAAGTAGTGAATGCTCTCTGTGGCTTTCAAGGTTCATCACTCCTCTTCTTTGTGGTTTTCCTCACTTCAACCTTGATCCCTGCTTCCTTGCTTGGGTGGGCAGGTGGGCAAGTATGAGTACATCATGATTTCGAAGTCAGTGTGGTGGGTGGGCAGGTGGTGGCTCCCGTAAACACCAATGGCCAATGCAACTAAAGTGATAGTTGCTCAGGCTAAGAGGAGTAGGGTGGAAGCATGCAAAAAAAGGAAGAGAGAGAGAGAGAGAAGCAGCAAAAGGAGGATACGGCACGGTGGATTCCTGGGGGAATGGAGTACAACGCACTTGGATAACTGCAACAACTTTAATATACGCTATTGGAGCTGGAATTACCGCGGCTGCTGGCACCAGACTTGCCCTCCAATTGTTACTCGTTAAGGGGTTTAAATTGTACTCATTCCAATTACAAGACTCTTATCGAGCGCCTGTATTGTTATTTACACGGGCGGTAGCATGTGAATGGAGAGACCTATCTATGCCTGATGGATACGGCCATACTGCGCAGAAAGCACCGCTTCCCATCCGAACAGCGAAGTTAAGCTGCGCCAGGCGGTGTTAGTACTGGGGTGGGCGACCACCCGGGAATCCACCGTGCCGTATCCTTTTACTCATAACTTCTTCTCGTACGTCATACACTGCGTCACTTTCCCTTTTGCTTTCCCTTCCCTTTTGCCCTTTGGCCCCTGTGTTTTAATTTTCTTTTGTTTCTTCCAAATTTTGTACATCCGTTTGTAACTTCGAGATGGAGGGCGAAATCGAGGAGACGAAGGCGTCGGGTCCGTCTGAGATTCTGTCGTGGCTCTACCTGGGCTCCAAGTATCACTACTTCGACAGCGACAACCTCAAATCTTTGGGTATGCTGTCAAATCGCCCCGATAATCTCGCAAACTCCTCCACTGCATCACCATCTTTCTTTCATCTGGTGTTCGTGTGCCCTGTGGTGCCGTCTGTCGTATGACTTTGGGTGCTGACCTGTGAGCATGCGTTGGCCTCACCAGGCATCACGCACGTGCTGAATGTGGTGGGTGGCCGCTACCCGAGCGACATCCCTAAGGACCAGTTCGAGATCATACCGCTGAGCGACTATGGCACTGACAAGCTCGACAAGAAGCTCACGTCCTGCTTCGAGTTCCTTCGTACTCACCATCAGCCTTTGCGTGTGCGTGTGCGTGTGCGTGTGCGTGTGCGATCGTTTGCGCGTGTGCGTGTGCGTATGCGTGTGCGTGTGCGTGCGATCGTTTGCGCGTGTGCGTGTGGCTCAGCTGATCGTTGGTGGAGACAGAGCTGGTGAAGGAGCGCGAGGCCAAGGTGCTGGTCCACTGCCAGATGGGCGTCAACCGATCTCCCACCGTCGTACGCTGGACCCATGAAAGCTCTCTTTTCTTTCATCCGCGAACGTCACTCAGACCACTCCTTTCTCTCGTCTCTCTCGCCAGGTCATCGCCTACCTGGTCAAGTACGAGAACTACAGCCTCAAGGACGCCGTAGACCGAGTCCGGGAGCGGTGCGCAAGTCTTGCCACCATGTGGTGATTGTTTTTTTTTGTTTGTTTTTTTTTTTTTTTCGGTGGCGTTGTACGGTGGTGCTTACACATCGGCGCGTGCGCACACGTCCACAGACGTCCGATCGTGTACCCGCACAAGCTCTACCTGGAGCAGCTGCGCGAGCTCGAGCCTCGATGGCGAAGCGGCGAGTCGACGTTCCCCAAGGAGGTTGAGGAGGACTGCTTCCCCACCATCGTGTGGAACGTGTAAATGAATCACCCATTACTCTCACTCTTAAGCACAGTTTATTATTATGATGATTATTATTATTATTATTCAAAGAAAAGAAGGATTGCTTCAAGAAGAATTAGTTATGCCAAATGTGAGTTTATTACAAATAAATTCACAAATAAATAAAGAAATAATTCACGGGCGGTGGCCACAGTGGGCCGAGCCGCGGCCAGTGAGGGCTTCCTTCTTTAGAAGAGGGCGCTGAAGGGGGTGGAGAGGGAGGCAGCCGAGCTGGTGCTGGAGCCCGAGATCTCGGTCGAGATGGAGTACTCGGCGCTGCTGTCGGAGTTGGGCACCACGAGCACCCAGTAGCTGACGCCGGGCAGAGCCACCTTGCTGTCGAGGTTCACCTTCAGGGTTTTGGTCTCGGAGTCGGCCGACAGGTCACTAATGAGGTTTTGATTGGTTGCACAGGAGAGATAAAATGAGACGGGAATTTCGGGAATGGTGGGAGTGCAAGAAGGAGGAGCGACGCGACGTACACGCTGAACTTGGTGAGAGCCTTGGCGTAGTTGGTGATGTCCTTGCCGAGCTTGAGCAGGCTGGCGAGGCTGAGGTCGAAGCACAAGCTGGTGTCGGGGATGACGAAGATGCCGGGGGGCAGGAGTTTGGTCAGAGCCGCAGTGCCCGAGCTCAGGGTCGAGGTGGCTACACCGAATCAAACCACAACATCAACATAACAATGAGATGACATGTTCTACTCAACCATTCTAAAGCGTAGAAGAAGGAGGGAGGGGGGCGTACTGAGGGAGCCCTTGGTGAGGGTGAGCGAGACAGAGTTGATGACCTCGGCGCCCGAGGCCTTGACGTAGTGCCACGAGGCACCACCGAAGCCGCAGCAGGTGGTCTGCTTGGTGAGGGCCTTGACCGAGGCGCTCAGGCCTGCGGCGACGTTGAGCGAGCCGATGGTGAAGTTGAGGTTGGCCGTGGTGGCAACTCCCGGCGGCTTGACGGTGATCGTGTAGAGCTCGGGCTCGGTCGTCTTCACGCAGCCCTGGAACGAGTAGGCGCACTTGACCTGGCTCTCGCTCGAGCTGGCCGACGCCGAGCACTGGATGTTGGCCTGGAAGTCGAGCACGTTGGTCTTGTCGATGGTCACCACCGGGTGGTCGGCGTCCGTGCTCAGCTCGGGCAGCACGTAGATGAACTGGTACTTGGAGCTGGTGTCGTGCGAGTAGGAGAAGGTGTACTGCTGGGAGCCCTCCACCAGGCTGCCCTTCAGCTGGCTGTTGAGGTTGAGCGTGGTGGCGGCCAGCGCAGTGCCCACAACACACAAGAAGACGAACGCGGTGCACAACTTCATGATGATGTTGATGATAGTTGTTGTGGTGGTTTGTTGATGTTTGTTGTGTTGGGGTACTGATGCTGGAACACGACCAACTAAGTCTGGTTATATGGGGTGGAGGAGGTGGGCCGGAGTGACGCGGATTGGGTGCGGTCTAGGTGGAACGGAGTCCGATCCACCCACAACCAAAGAAACCAAGGGCCAATCGGAGATGAAGTAAACTGTGCTTGTTTTCAAAGTGACCAATTATGAGCACGATGATGTTTAGGTCACGGGAGACAACAATCACAAGCCGGTTGCCTGACGGGCAGAGTGAATCACACGACCCCATTGGTGTGACCCAAGCGCATTTGAAATTAAACTGGTCAGTGATTGGCAGGAGCTGTGTTGGAGCAACAAACTAATCGCCGCAGGCGGTAAACCAGATTTCCTCCCGCAACCGGACCTGCCTACCGGTTGTCAGGACCTGGACAAGTACCTGGTGCACGTGTCATCTCCATTGCTATCTGCAACAGTTTTAATCACAACAAATGATTATAACTTCTGCTTTTTGCCAACTGGGAACCCAGTTGGGTGTTGTTGGTTGTTGTGGTCATTCTCTGGTTGGTTTATTCGTGACAGTATAAATTATTTACTTTTATCTCGTATCTCTGGTGGAGTGTTGCAGGAGGAGATGAAGATGACGAGTCGATCATCTGAAGATGGACCTTATCTGCTCGAAGAGAAGATTGCGCTCCTCGGCCGAGATGCAGAAGAAGAGATAGGACACTCGTGGCGTGTGCAGCACGAAGGCGTTCTTTATCTGTTGTCCCATGAAGTCTGCACAACGCAACCCATGTAAGTTGAAGCAACACACAACACGACAGCGTTACATACACAACACGACACACATGGCGCACAGGGACCGAACCGTCAGTGTCAGCCATGATTTCGAGGCGGAAGTTGATGTCGTCGCGCGTGAATTTGGCGATGATTTGGAAGCGGTCCTTCTTGATGTCGCCCTTCGTCACCAGCAGCTGATCGTTGAACACAAACAAGCACACCTGTGGGAAAACAACAACCAAAAAGAAATAGAACACAGAAGATAGAAAGGTGAGCATTCGCGTCGCACTTGGCTCTGTGTGTGTGTGTGTGTGTGTGTCGTGTGTCGTGTGTCGTGTGTCGTGTGTCGTGTGTCGTGTGTCGTGTGTCGTGTGTGTGTGTGTCGTGTGTGTGTGTGGTGCATGGTGTGCGCACCTCGCGTCTCTTGTCGCTGTCCTGATCATAGAGGGTGACCACCACCTGCTTGACGAACACACGATTCTGATCGACCAGGTCTCGCACCATGTCCTTGGGCTTCATCTTTGCTTGCAACGACCTAGACACGTGAGAGGCGATATTGATAAGTGTGACACCGTGTGCGTGTGCGTGTGCGTGTGCGTGTGCGTGTGCGTGTGCGTGTGCGTGTGGTGCGGAGAGGGTGGGCGTACGCAAGGACGTCCATTTGCTTCTTCAGGTTCTCGGCGCTACGCTTGTTCTCATTGACCTGATAGCAGATGTTGTCCATGTACGTCTGCGCGGCGTTGATGTTCTGGTAGTCGACGTGGTTCTCCGGCGTCTTCTGCCGCAGGTCCTGCTCACCGCCACGCAAAGCGGGGTCAGCCCTCGCGCCGTTAAGGTGGCGGTCGCCGTCATTGCGACGGGTTTCATTTAATGTGGCGGCTGGCGTGTACCCGGAGGAGGATGACGTAGCGCGTGACCCTCTGCACGGGCAGGATGAGGAACGACTCGAGCGAGAGGCCGCCGCACTCGGGGTGCTGGTTGCAGCGCTGGATGAAGGCCCGCCACGTCTTGAGGTCCTTGCATCGCCCGATCGTCTCCAGGGCCTGGTCGTAGTGGTTTATGTATGAACTGTACAGCATGATAAAGTCTTGTTTCTGTGTGTCGTTGGTCGTGTCGTGTCGTGTCGTGTTTCGTTGTAAGCAGACGACCGAATGAATGAATGAATGAATGAATGAAGTGCGGCGTACCATGTCCAAAAAGGTGTCGCCGATCTGGGTCTCGATGTTCCACCGGGTGATGCGCGACTCGAGCTTGGAGACCATCTGCAGGTGGTAGGCGTAGATCTCCTCCAGGTTGCCGAACACCGACGCGATGTCGGCTGACAAAATGATCGGCTTGCTCTGCTCGGCGGCCCTTCGCAGAGGCTTCAAAAAGACGTCGATCGTGACGCCCAGACTCTGGACGTAGACCAGCTCGGACGAATAGATTTCGCGAGCCACGCGTGTGCGCAGTGCTGTGTGTGGATAAGCGAGAAAGTCGTATGCGGAGGCGTGTGTCGCGTGTGCGTGTCGCGTGTGCTGCGTGAAAGGTGGGTGAACGCACTGATTTGGGTGTATTGTCGACGCATGCGCGAGCTGCGCCATCTGGTTTGGAAAATGAGCGCTGCTTCCTCTCGCGACAGAGCCTTACGCGGTACGGGCGGCAGCGGGGCCTTTTTCGGCGGCAACTGTCGCCCGGCTGCAAGTGTTGTTGGGTCAGTCGACTGACTACACACGGCACACGCGACAACTGCTACACACGCGGCACACACGACGAGGGTGGTGCGGAGCTGACTGTACCAGCGGTGGGAGGGTTCTTGACCGGCACGGGCGGGAGGGACTTGCTGGCACTGCGGGGAGGCGTGGCCGGTGGTGGCGACGTGTGCGATGGCGTCGGGAGCTGCCTCACAGCTCGCGGCAGGGGCGCCGAGCGGGGCTGTCCCTCCTCCTTGTGGCCCGTCACCTCCTGAAGCACGGGACAGGATCAACAACCGCACACGATACGACACACACTGCACTCAATTCTACGACACGACACACGACACACACGACACACACGACACGACACACACGACACAGTACCTGAAGTTCTTCGATGAGGGCGTGGGCGCTGTCGACGGAGGCGTTGAGATGCGAAAAGCCGGCACTGCGCGGGTGCTGCTGCGGTGGCGGCTGCTGCTCGGTGTCGTTGTAGATGGGCGCACGAGGGGAACGCTTGAGCGCACCCGTGTGGTGCTTTACCAGGGCGCGCAGGCCGCCCTTCTTCTCCGCGTTCCCTTCATTCTCTGCACATTGATGACAAATTCGTGTCGTGTGTTGGACCATCGCCTTGAGGCGGACGATGAGGTGAATGAGGGTCGTACTTTCGTTGTTATTGTCATCGTCGTCACCGTCCTCGCCCTCGGCTGAACCCGTGCTGCGTCGCCTGTTGTGGTCGCCCGGGACACAGGGCAGGGGCCGTGCCCCCGGTATGTCCTTGGCCTTGACTACGCCGGCGTCCTTCTCCCAGTGCGACGGGGCGCCGGCCGGTCCCGTTCTAAAGAAGAAAAGAAAAGGAAAAGAAAGGAAGAAAAAGCAAAGTGGTCAGAACGATGGCGTGGGCCAAGGAGGAGGGGAACGTGAGGAATGTACCGGAGGGCGACGATGGGCTTGGGCACGCGTTTCGGGGGCACTGCGCTGCCCGAGGTCGCGGCGGGTCCGGTCTTGTGGGAGATCAACGTGCGGCCCGCCGGTTGCTGCTGCTGTTGGCACCCAATCGTGTGTGTGTGTGTGTGTGTGTGTGTGTGTGTGTGTGTGTGTGTGTGTGTGTGTGTGTGTGGTGTCGTGTGTGTGTGTGTGACGTGTGTGTTCAGCCCTATCAGTATGACGGGATACAGAGTGACCACTTGGCACTGTACTGTACCTGTGGGCTTCGGACACCGAGGATCGAGCCGCTGCGAGGCTGCGGCGGGTTGGTCTCGCTCCGCTTGTTGCCGTTGTAGAAGCCGTTCTCGTCATCGCTGCTGTCATCGTAATACGCGCTCCGCTGCTCGTTGTGGTCTGCGGTACCAATCAGGGCACAAAGCACGTCAGCCGATCTCAAACTGAGAAGTGGCGATGGTGGTGGTGATGATGGTGATGTAACAATACCCTCATAAAGGTCGAGCTTGTTCTCGAACGCCGAGGAGTCGAACATGGTGTCGGCGGTCATGATCTCGGCGCGGTCGGACACCCGGTGCTTGCGCGCGATCTCGGCCGCGTATGCCTCGTACGACGCCATCGCGTCGGCCTGGATCTGTCGCTCCTGGCTGCCGGGGAGCGCACCGATCGGCGCCGGCGCGCCCGGGTGCCTGGGCTTCCGCGGGTGCCGCGTGACTTGTTGGGCCGCGTTCGGCGGCGAGATCGGACGCTGGTGGATGGCACTGCCGCCCCTGCCGCCCCCGCCGCCGCCACCGGCAGCAGAAGTGCCGCCAAACGGGCTGTCCAGCGTGGAGGCCTTGTTCGGGGAGCCCGTGCCGCTGCCGTGCGGCGGCGGGCGAGAGAGTATGGCGCTCCCCACAGAGGCGCGTGGCCGGGGTTTCATCTCTCCGGGCCGCTCTTCGGCCGCCGCCGACGTCGGTCCGAATGGCGACCACGAGCTCGCGTTCTGTTTCGGACATAAAAAAGAACATGATTTCAATTTTTAGCTCCGATCTACGATGCTTGCAACGTGCTCGAGAATGAGAGAAATTGGGGCGCGTACCGTGGGCACGGGGGGCGCCTGGGGCGTGGGCCGCCGGGAGAGAATCGGAGCCGTCTGGGTTCGGCTCACCTGGGGCTGGGGCTGGGGCTGGGGCTGAGCTTGGGCCTGGGCCTGGCTCCGCATCATCTGCTCCTGCTGCTGGCGCAGGTGGGCCACCTGTTGCTGCTGCTGCTGGCGGATGGCCTCCTGCTGCCGCGCCAGCTGCTCCTGGTGCTGCCGCACGCGCTCTTGGTGCCGCACGCGGCTCTCCTCCTCGAGGCGCTCGCGCTCCATGCGCTCCTGCCGCAGCTTCTCGTGCTCGGCCTGGAGCCGCTGTCGCTCCTCCTGAATCCGCTGCTGCTCGCGCATGAGCTCGATGGCCATCTTCTCCTTCTCGCGCTGGATCTCCTCTTGGGCGAGCCGCAGCCGCTCCTGCTGCTGCCGCACCTCCTCCGCCAGCCGCTCCTTCTCCTGCTGCATTCGCTCGCTGTTGAGCCGCTGCTCGGCCCTGAGCTTCTCCTGTTCCACTCTGTCGCGCCTCGCTTCGTCAACACCACACACACGACGACACGACGACACGACGACACACAGGCGGGCGGGCGTTGGGTACTCTTCTTGCTCACGGCGAAGCTTCTCCTGCTGGGCCAGCAGCAGCTGCTCCTGCCTTCGCTTCTCCTGCAGGGCGTCCTCGCGCCTCTTTTGTTCCAGGGCGAACTGCTCCTGCCTCAGCTGCTCCTGACGCAGCAAGTCCTGTCGCTTCCGTTCCTACGCCCAGAGAAGAAGAAGAAGAAGAAGGTCATTGATGGTCCATCAGGGGAAAGGCTTCGGCGTGGGTACCTCTTCTTGCTTGACCCTCTCCTGCTGCAGCCGGGCGGCCTCCTCCTCGCGCCTCTGCTCCTCCTCGAAGCGGATCCGTTCGAGGCGCAGCTGTTCCTGCTGTCGCTGTTGCTCCTGTGGCACACGAAACGTTATGTTATTGTGTTGTGCGTTGTTTGTGTGTCGTGTCGTGCGGTGTGGTGCGGTGCGTACTTGTATCATCTTCTGCTGTTGCTCAAACTGTTCCTGCTGCTGTCGCTGGTGCTGCAGTTCCTGCTCATGCTGCTGCCGAAGCTGGGCCTGCCTGACCTCCTCGAAGATGCGCATCTGCTCGGCGCGCAGCGCCTCCTGCTGCCGCTCCTGCTCCCGCTGGGCCTCGAGCCGCTTGCGCTCCTCCTCCTGCCGCAGCGCCTCGCGTTCGGCCTTGCGCTTCTCCGCCTCGATCCGCTCCCGCTCCTGCTCTTCGCGCAGATGTCGCTGCTGCTCCTCCTGCAGCATCTTGACGTGGAGCTGCTGCTGCTTGAGGCGCTCCTCGGCCCTGATCTGCTCGTGCTGCTGTCGCATCCGCTCCTGCGCCTCGTCCAGCCTGAACGAGCCGTTACCGCCGCCAGCGCTCCCGACACCGACGCCGACGCCGCCTCCATAGCCGAAGCCGACGCCGCTGGCCATCATTGTCGACGTGGACGAGGGCGAGGGCGAGGGCGAAGTGGTGGACGACGACGAAGTCGACGAGGGCGGCGATGAGTACGAGGAGTGCGAGGGCGAGCCGCCGCTGCCGTGCGAGGTCGGCGGCGACGCGTAGTGCAGTCCACCGCTACCACCATAGGCCAGGTGCTGCTGGTGCTGCGCCGCCGTAGCATTCCACCCGGCCGCCGCCGCCGGGTGCCCGCCGACGGGGGTCGGCTGGAGCGGGCTCGGGAGGTGGTGACCGTACGGTCCCTGCGAGCCGGGCGGGCCGCCCAGCGAGAACGGCGCCTGCGGCTGCATCGACGGGTGCTGCTGCTGCTGGGGCTGGTACACGGGCTGCGGCTGCATCGGCATTGGTATCCCCTGCTGGTGGTGCTGGGAGTGCGGCTGATGAGGCTGATGAAGGACGGCGGGCTGGAGTGGGGCCTGGAGGGAGGTGGCCGCGTTGGTCGGGAAGCCCCAGGAGCCCATGGGGCTGGCCTGCTGCGGATAGGCGGCCTGCGCCTGGTGGTGGTGGTGGTGTGGATGATGTCCCGCGGGCGAGACGACGTTGGGCATCAGGGGCGGCATGCCGCCGATGCTGCTGCCTCCCGACATGGGCGCCATCATGGCCCCACCGCCGCCAGACATGGGCGCCATCATACCCCCGCCCGAGAGCGGTGGCCCGCCACCTGAGACGGGAGGCGATGGGTTCGAAAACAGAGCTGCGCGTGTAGAGCCATCGAGATGGGGGGAGAGAGAATGCGAAGAAGTGATTAGAGCAAAAGAATATTAAATGGAGGGCAAGCAGAGGAGGTGTGGTGAAGATGCATGGGAAAGAATGTAAGAAGTGGAAAAAAAAAGAGTAAAAAGAAATGATGCCGCGTTGCTTTGGAGATGGAGGAGGAAACGCGTACATGAGGCCGAGCTCAGGTTAACGAAGGTGAGGCTACCCGAGCGTCCCGCTGGCATCATGGGTCGATGCAGCGACGGATCGAATGCTGGACTCTCATCCAGCACACTCCTTCGAGAACTCATTCCTTATTCCTCTTCACGAATCGCAAATTGATCAATTAAATCGATTTCGCGTTCAATTCACTCCACCTTCCCGGGCGAGTCTCCAAAGAGCTTCTTAGTTTCGATGAATGAAGCCGGCCGAGACGATTGGTCGCACGAAAAGAAGATGGAGGCCTGTGTTCTCGCTCTTTTTGTGTTGTGCCAGACCCAGAGCCACCGAGCAGGACTGTACAATCAATCCCGGTTAAAACCGGCCACCGAAGCTTATTTTGGCCATTTCCACCTAATTTTCCTTAAAATGCCTCCGCTCAAACACTCACCTTTGCCCAACCCTTCTGCCTTCTGTTCCCCACCCTTCTGGAAGTGTTGTTGTTGCTTGTTGTCCTTGCCAAGGAGGACTCCAACAGCACCTCATCTCCAGAAGAACAGTGAATGAAATAAAGAAAGAAAATAGCAATAGAAAAGGGAAAAAACAAAAGAGCGACACAGACCAAGAATGCTGTGGGAGCTGCCCGAGGAGGTGTTGGTTCACATACTGAGCTTCTTGCCGCCGAGGGAGCTCGGTTGGACGCTGCCTCTTGTGTGTCGCCTCCTGCGCAGCCTTGCTGACGACGACGCTCTGTGGAAAGTACTACTCTCACCTTCACCTTCCCCCCCCCTTCGCTCCCTTTGCTCGTAATTATGAGCAACGAATAAATGGAAGTGGATGTGGGGCGACTCCAGGTCCACTTCGCCGCACATGCCAGACCTTCGCCCAGCGCGCTGGTTCGTTTCCCCTTTCAAGCTTTCGTGTGCAGTTGTGTGCAGTTGTGCGCGTTGTGTGTGTTGTGTGCGTGTGCGGCTGACCTTGGAGTTGTTGTGTTGGTCCCTCAAAGAGGAGTGCGGGCACATGGCGGCACGCACTCATGCTGCGGTCCACGCTCAAGCAGGCCTGGATGGAGCCGTGGCCGCCCGGGTCACCCGGGTCGCCCTCCTCCACAATGAGCATCCCCTCCCACTGCACTAGCCGCATTCGCGGCCAACACGAGTGCGTGCTCTCCTCTGCAATCATTTTGCTTTACAATTTTGATTTATTTATATTTGTATTTGTATTTGTGTTTATATTTGTTTGTTTTTTTCATTAAAAAAAAATTGTGCGAGTGCTAAATGTGTTGTTGGCACCCAAGGGTGGCGATCCGTGCGCTGGACTTTGATGACGACTTCGTCGTTTCTGGAGGCGAGGATCAGCTTATCAAGGTGCATCGTTCTCTGCAATGATCCCTCCCCTCCAATAATGCGCACTCATGCGTGTGCGTGTGCGGTGTTGCGTAGGTGTGGCCGCGTGATGGCCCGGCGACCGCATCCCCGGAGCCTCTCTTCACGTTGCGCGAACACACGGGCATCGTGCACGGCCTGGCCTATCGCAAGGGCCTCCTCGTGTCAGGTACCAGCCTCCCACGCGCTCAGTGTTGCTTTGGCCCCACCGCAAAAATAATATAACCAACCAACAGGGAGCGACGACAACACCATCAAAATTTTCGACCGAAACCAGGCCTTCACGTGCGTCCACACGCTGGAGGGACACGAGTACGTTTGATATTTACTATTTTAAGCATTTATAGCTATTTATTTATTTATTCACATGAAAACAAATAGACATTTATTGATTTATTGATTTCTTTACCCTCCTTGTGCCACAACGCAGGAAAGGAGTGCGATGCCTGCAGTATCACGATTCGACAATAGGTGCGGCTTTCAGTGGGGCGAGGTGAGTCGACAGGGAGTGCGCTCGCTAAGGTGAGGCTGCATTCCTCCTCCCCCTCTCTACCCAACACTGCAGTGTCCGGTTCGTATGATCACAGCGTGCGCGTGTGGGACGTCGAGCGGGGCGTGGAGAAGGGCATTCTGGGCAAGGCCCACACGTCCCACGCGGGCATCGTGTTCGGTCTGCAGTACAGTCCCGAGGAGTCCGTCGTTATCAGGTCGGTGCCCTCCGTCTCACCACATCACTTCCACCACCAGGTCATCTTCGGGAGGTCGTGACCGTGTGTCGTTGGTCGTGTCGTTGGTCGTGTCGTTGGTCGTGTCGTGTCGTGTCGTGTCGCGAACAGTGTGGGCGCGGATCGATGCGTTAGAATGTTCGACCTGCGCACACAGCAGGAGGCGGCCAATTTCTGTACCATACACACGCACTCGGACTGGCACATGGCCGTCGCGTTCGACGAGCAGCGGATAGGTTCGCCTCCAACGTTGATGCTGAGCCGGTCGCTTCAAACTTTTGAAGTGGCCCTGCCACTAACCTTCTTTCCTTTTCCTCCCTTTCTTTTCTTTCCTTTGTGCAGTTGTAGGGAGCCGAGATCACAGCATCACCGTTTGGGACCGACACACGCACGGTCTGATTCGTGTCCTCAATGCGCATTCGCTCGGCGTGGTACGTCAACAACGACTCACATCGCACGCGCACGCACGTGCTATATTATACTAGTGCATCTATGCAGCTCTTGGCTGAATTTCGAATCGTCGCGCAGGTGGCGCTCCAGATCGACGACTACAAGATCGTATCAGGCTCGGGAGATAACACTGCGCGCGTGTGGCCCATTGAGGGCAGTGAGCCCATCTCCTGCATTGCACTCAGTAAGTACCCTCCCTCTCCCTTTTCCACGGGATGGGCTAACACTACTCCCCCACCGGCACGCGCAGAGGACACAGCATGGTGTGTCAAGTTTGATGGCGCGTCGCTCTTCACCGGCTCGGGGCGAGTCGACAGCCACGTACGCGAGTTTCGCTTCAACGCGCCTCGTCCCCCAGGCTTCTCCCAATTGGCCCAGCCCTCGTAGCCCAACGGTTTCACCTCCTCCCAGTTTTCGTTTGCAAGAACTCTTCTTTCCCTTTTTTGTTTTCAAAATTGCTCGCATTGCAACCGATTTTCTTTGGCCGAAGTTGTCATTTTCTTTGTTTCTTTTGGTTCTTGATCTCTTTTCAGTCTCGCCTTCAGCCCAATTTTCAGTACCTTTTAGCCCATTGAAGAGGGCCCGTACCGTCCAACTCAAGATCTCTCACCGGCTAAGGCAAGCGCGGTAATCGCCAACCGAGGTCGTTGAGCTCCAGTTCTACCTTTTTTTCCCCAAGCTGCCCCACCAACATCCAGCTCACACTGCCAGCCAAGATGGTGGTCCCACTACGCATCCTCTTCCTCTGCACCTTCTTCTTCTTCTTCTTCTCCGCCTCCTTCGCCAGCAGCGCTCTCGAGGCCGATATTCGGCCCTACGCCGACGAAGACATCGTGGGAGGTGGCTGGGGCCCGGCCGTCAAAACGCGGGACCAGCTCCTACACGACATGAACCACGTCGAGCGCTTGGTCCATGGCTTGACGCTCGGCAAGCGCAACGGACCACCCGCGGCCGAGGTCAACAACACCCACGAGATCTTCTACCCGCCCGGCTGGACTCCCGGTTCGCCCCCAGCTGCTCCGCCGGCCCCGGTCGGCCCAGACGAGGCGGCGTGGGCGGCCAAGTACCTGGGCGCCCACCCCGACGTGGAGTCCAGGCGCTTCGCCGAGCGGCTGCACGACGGGTCAACAGCCTTTGGCCACGTCTTCTACATCGCCAACCCGCACCTTCACTTCTCCGTGCAGCCTCCCGAGGGCGTACGTTCGTTTGCGCTATGTGTGTCGTGTGTCGTGCGTCGTGCGTCGTGTGTGCTGTGTGTGTGCGTGCGTGTCGTGTCGTGTGTGGTGTGTTGTGCGTCGTGTGTCGTGTGTCGTGTCAATTTGCGGCGTCGCATGTTTTCGCGGTTGGTGAGTGCGTGTGTGTGTGTGTGTGTTTGTGGTGTCATGCTTACATGAGCCATTGCAGGGCTGTGGCGCTAGGAGCAAGGTGTCGGCGACGGCCCTGCAGGTAGGGTGCAGGGTGGCCAGCAATGCGGGCTTCTTCAACACGCGGACCGGGGCCTGTCTGGGCAACCTCATCTCCGACGGCGTCGTCATCCAGAACACCGGGCGCCACAACGGTGCGTTCCAATCAGCTCGCTCTCTCTATTAAGCGTGGCCAATCCCGCCACACTGGGAGTTTAAAATGCTGACTAGGCTGGTTACACGGCAACGCACACAGCCAACTTTGGACTGAGAAAGGACGGCAGCTTTGGGGTGGGCTACTTTGGGGCGGAGGACGTGTCGCGTGGCAACGAGACGGACTGGGCGCAGTTGGTGGCCGGCGTCGTGTGGCTCGTGCGCGACGGGCGCAACTACGTGGCCCAGTCGGCGCGGCTGGAGGACCTCTCGGTGCAGGAGACGGGCGGCTCGTTCGTGACTGTGACGTCGGCGCGCCACAGCATCGGCCACGATCGTCTCGGGCGGCTCATGCTGGTCCTGGTCAACGGCAAGACCGGGCAGCGCGGCGTCAACCTCGACAGCTTTGCCAACATCCTCGTCTCGCTCGGGGCTGTCAACGCCATCAACCTCGACGGCGGTACGCACAATACAACACAACACACAACACACAACACACAACACACAACACACGCGTAACGCACACGCACCACCGCACACGCACCATTGCTAACACGCTCATGCGCGTACAAAGGCGGTAGCGCGCAGATGGTGGAGAATGGGGTGGTGGTCAACTTTCCCTCGGACGAGTGCAGCGACAACCCGCGCTTCACCTGCGAACGAGCCATATCCTCCATCGTGTGCATCCGCCCATAAGGCTTGGCTGCCGCTGCGTGTTGGATTATAATTTAATAATCTATAGAATGTGCTTGCACTGTATTCATTCCTCACTGGTCGCCCTTCTTGTCCTTCTTGCTCGATTTCTTTGTCTTCTTCTCCTTCTTCTCCTTCTTCTCCTTCTTTTCCTTCTCTGCCTTTTGCTTCTGCTTCTTCTTCTTCTTGTCGGTGGGGACCTCGTTGGACAAGGTGCGCGGTCGCAGCTCGCCCTCCTCGTCGTCCTTCTTGGCGTTGATGGTCGACTTCCCAAAGGCCGAGAAGTAGTTCAGCAGCACCTCGCGCACCTCGTCCCCTCTCGGACCCAGGTCCACCACGCCCAGCGTGTTCTTCATGTGATGCATCCACCGCTCGTAGCCCTGTTCGCACCGCACACATGTGACCGCACACGCACACGCACACGCACAACAAGATCAGAAGGGTGTGTGTGCGCGTGTGCGGTGCGAACAGGGCGTACGCGCGGAGTGACTCGGAAGTGGCTGTGGACTTCGCGGATGAAGGTGGAGTCCTTCTGGAGGCCGCCGTAGTAGGGGTCGCCGCCGAAACGCTGCACGAAGAAGCTCAGCTGGGAGAACACCGCCAGGTCCTTGGGCGTCGCGGCCGTCACCACAAACATGTCCCGGAACCACGGCTCCTCGTCATCAGCTGAAGAAACATTAATGTGTCGATGACGTCACATTACACATGGCCTGTGTCAGCAAGACTAGACTGCAAACATAGAGTGTGTTCGGAGCATTATTCACCATAGACCCGGTCGTAGAACTCCTGCGAGATGGCCTGGAGGCCGGCCTCGCCCAGTTCCTTGTAGAGGTCCCGCACACGCAGCTTGTCCTGGTGGTGGTCCACGGGTTGGCTGGTGGCGGCGGTTGTGCTGTTTTCCATTTCTTCTTCCAGGCGGGTGGGTGGTTGGGGTTGTTGTTGGAGGTTTTGCTCTGCTGCCCAGAACTAACTAGAGACTGTCTGGCCGGTTGCCCATTGGCCAGGTGGAGTTTGGGATATCAGCGATTTATCCAGCAAACTTGTATGACTTTTGAATGTATCATAGCAACTTCATCATATCCAGATCATGGTGCACAACACAAATGGAATGGTGAAACATTTTTTTAATTGTTTTGTACAAATAAATAATTAAAAACAAATGGTGTCACATGAGCATGACTCCTTGGCCGTGGCCGATGGGTGCGCCCAACCCGATCGGGTCGGCCGAGCGCGTGTAGGTCTCGAAGTCGGGGATGGGCGCCGCCGGCAGCTTGTTCTGTTTGCCGTTGTGCGCCTGCTTGCCCCGAAGGCGGTAGTGGTGATCGGCCACTCCGAGCCCGCCCCCGCCTCCGCCTCCCTCTCGTTCCCTCGGGTCGAACGACACCGAATGTCGGTCGACATCGAGTCCGTACGTGCTCACCTGCCCACCACTCACTATGAGCCCCATGTGTGCGGTGATGCGTGCGCGTGCGCGTGTGCGTGCGTGTGCGTGTGGTGGGTGTGGTGGGTACCTGAGGCGCTTCTGGGGGAGTGGGCGGGATGTGAGAGGTGCAGAAGGGGCAGCGAACGGCGCGTGAGCTGATCCGAGTACAGCAGAACGGACACTCTTGCCACTTCTACTCTCACGTCACGCAACACGCAAAACACGCAACACGCAACACAATCACACCAACCAAGCGGCAACAACCAATATGACAGGTCAGGCCTCCATTTCCACAGAGGCAGTGGTGATTGAAGAGGGGGGTTGGGTGGGTGGTACGTACTCGGCGCCACGAGACGTGGTTGTGGACCTCCTGCAGGATCTTGACGATGATGAAGAGCATCACCACCACCGCGAGGAAGCTCACCAACAACTGCAGAAACCGCCCATAGCTTCGGCCGGTGCCGCCACCATCGCCGCCACACACACAAGATCAACCTGTGCGCGACCGTGAAGGTGGGTGGTGTGGTGCGGGTACTTGATGGTGATGGCGCCATCGCTCTGGGCATCAGACACGGTGGCGTAGCTGGGTCCATTCTTGCCCGACTTGAGCAGGTAGAACAGGTTCACAAAGTTGGCCCCGAGGATCACGCCTGTGTGTGTGGTCAGGTCAGCAGAATAATAAGAAGAATTAAAAAAATATAAAAAAAATATAATCTAACATTAAGAAGAAGGCATACCAAGCGTTGGTGGCAGAAGGATGTCGCTCATTAGGGAATTAATCTATTTTATAATTAATACAATCATTTAATTAAATCAAGCAAAATCAAATTTATCTCTTCAAGAAATTAGGAATCGCATGAGATAGGAGCAGTGTGGCGTACGAGGACTTGAAAGGCAGTGCCGATGACGATACCGATGGCGAGCTCGGCCACCGAGCTTCGCCCCAAGAAGTCAGCAAACTCCTCCCAGAAGCCCACGGTCTTCTGCACCGTGTAGGACACGCCCTCCCCGATCTTGGTGCGCAGAGGCGTCAGCTCCGTCGGCACGAACATCGACATCATGCTCATCTTCCCTCACGATCAAGGTTGCGTCTTGCCACCGCCAACCCAAGCTCGTTGGTCGGGCCGATAAACAAGAAGAAGTGCTCGTCGAACCAACAACCAATAACTGCCGATGACGTTCGCTTCTACGGTGGAAATAAGAACAAAATATAAATAAATATATAAATATATAAAAAGAATATTTGTATTTATTTATTTGTTAATCTCTTTGCTCTTCTTTACAGAGGAAGAAGAGCACAGGAAGGTGTGATGAAGTGGTAGTGGTGGCCTGCTACTACCACTTGGAGGGGTCGAGCCACTTCCTGGGGCGGTAGAGGTTGACCGGAGCCGGGCCTTCGGGCTCGGGGAGGTTGAGGCGCGAGTACTGGGCCGACACCTCGGCGTCCCAGGTGGCCTTGAAGAAGGCCAACGCCTTGGGCCTCAGGCCGTACTTCTCCTGCGCCTTGAACGTGTTCCAATCTACACATCGCACGACACGCACACGGCACAACGCACGACACGACACGACACGACACGCACGAGGTATAAGCTCAAGGAACATTAGTAGCCTGCGACGAAGACGAGAGAACGTACTCTTCCGCTGAACAAACTCCTTGAGCGCACCCTCGGGGAAGGCGTCGAACTGGGTCTCGCCGTCGAGCTGCTCGAACAAGAGGAATACGTATCGGTGACCGCCTGGCAGGAGGGAGCAAGCAGTCAGCATACATTACCAAGACAAGACGAGACAATGGTCAGAGGCTAGTGAGTGTATGTGGCTATACCTCCGTGCTTCTTGGGCATGGGCGGGAGGTAGTCGCACAGCACCTGGCCCTGCGAGATGTCGTTGCCGGGAATGTTGGTCCTGCAATTGCCCCGCGCGCGCGCAACATATAGAGTCAGTGAGCAGTGCGTTGCATGTGCGCGCGGTGCAACGTTGATGCGTCGTAACGAGGGAGCTCGGAAGGTGTGTCACGTACACCAGCCAGTGAAGAACCTCCTTCCCTCGACCCTCCTCGTGCGGGACCACCCATCCGGGCTTCACGATCTCCACGTCGTCGGGCACCAAGTCGGGGTCGTCTGAGCAACAGAGAGCCGAGAAAAGCGGGTCAGCGGGTGGTCGAGAGAGAGAGAGAGAGAGAGAGAGCTCCATCGGCGGTTCGTAGTACCGGGGGTGGCCATGATGAGCGTCCATCGCTTGGTGGGGTCGCTGGGCCACGACACGCGAGGCGTCGTCTGGAGCTGTACGTAGAGACGAGCGAAGAAAGAGATATGAGCAGGCTGGCCAAACAACAGCAGCAGCAGCATGTCGTGAGCGTGCGGGTGGCGTGCCTTGGCTGGCGGCAGGAAATGACCCTTGCGGACGACGACCTCAGGCGAGTACTCAACCTGGTCAGAGAACACGATGCCCCCGCATGCTTCGTCAGTACACATGAACGAGGGCACCGATGGTCGCAACATGTTGAGGAGGAGGAGCGTGCAGTGGGGGTCCAACCTGCAACATGAAGTAGGGCGTGAAGGGCTCTGGCAGCACGTCTGGGAACACCTTGTGCAGCTTGGCCTTCTTGCGGATCTGGAACGAAATGAAAGGATGTAAAAATCAAAACAATTGAATTGCTACGTAGCAAAAGGAAAAATCTGGCGATGGAGGTACATTTTTGTGTTTGGAGATTTCCGTCTCGGGATCGGGCTTCCAGCCAGGGAAGGGCGGGCTCCACTTAGGCTTTGCGCTACGGAGGGCAGCCCTGTTCTTCTTCGCGATTTGGATTTGCGAAATGTTGCGCCTCGCCCCCTCGGAGGCAAGAACGGGAGAATTCTGCAAAATCCTCGATGTTCGTGCCGATTGAAGCGCCGTCCGGCTCACCCCCGACAGATTAGAGGCCGACGGTGCCGCTGAGCGTGACCCCAAGCGGCAAGCTGGCTGCAGCGTGGTGCTCGTTCGTCGCAGCATCTGGATCGCACTTTTTCAATCAATTGGCGAAAAGCCAGAAGAAAAAAAGATTTTCTTCTTCTCCCCTGGAGTGCCACTAAAGGCCGAAAACACCTCCATGAAGCGAAACGAAAGAGAAGTAGCAGCACTCAAGGAGGAAAGCACCGCCACGATGAAGCGAGTCAGCGGGCTTGAAGAGGCGAGCACTGGGGGGCCATTTCGACTCTGCAAGCGAAGCACAAGAACCTCAACGAAACTAAAAGAGGCAATAGAGTTGACCACTCAGAGGACAGCGCCCAGCTCAAGGAAGCGAACCTGCAAAGAAGCCGCACAAGAGGTGACCCAAGCTTCTTTGTTCTTCTTTCCTAACACCTGTCTCACAGTCTTGTGTTGGTTTAAGTGGGACGAAAAGGAAGAGGAAGACGAAGACGAAGACGAGGAAGACTCATAGGGAGCCCTAAGCGAGCGGAGGACACTGGCGCTGACAACGGCGCGGTATATATGTTCTGTACATTTGTTCCGTATCTATCCGTTCTGTGCCTGAGGGTTCTGAACTCGGCAGTCGTCTTGCTTTGGCCCGTGCGATCCACAGTTGCTCAGTATTGTCTCCCGCACGCACCACCACACACGCACCACCCCCGCACAACGTGCGTGCGGTGTGTGGCACGGCTGGTCGTAATGACAAGCTGGGGTGATTGATTGTTTGTTTTTGAAAACCTTGCTCCCATTAAAAGCTATATGAGCACAAGCGTGATTGGCCCCTAGTTACACACCTGACGTGCGAATTTACGGTTGGTGCGGCCCGGCGGGTAAAAAGACGGAAACGGGCATTGCCAAGAAGAACGGTGGCGCTTTGGTTTCTTGGTCGTCCTCGACAGCAACACCAGGTTTCCGTGCGTCGGGGTGCCGCGGTGTGGCTGTTCGGTCCCGCCTCTCTTCTCTTTTTAACTTATCAGCAGTATCGAGAGGAGGCAGTTATTGCCCCTTTTTTGGTACTTTTATCTCTCGACTATTATTATTTCCTTATTTTAATATTTATATTCGAATCGAAGCCATTTTAAGATGTCTCTGCGTTCGAGCGCTTCGTACTCGCCCTCGACATCGCGAAAGAAGTCGGCCACATCTTCATCGACTTCGACTTCGTTGGCGCCCCCCTCTCCCGTGCTACCCGGATCATCATCTCTCGGCATCGCCTCCGCCCCCCACGAGCGGGTGGGCCTCACCAAGAAAGAAACGAAAAAGAACGAAAACGGCGGTGAGGGGGGAGGCGAAAGAACGAAAGCGACGAAAACGACGACGAAAGCGAAAGCGACGGCGCGAGTGGTGGAGGGGGAGACGGAGAGCGAGACCGAGCGGCGGAAGAAGAAGGAGCAGGCGCGCAGCATGCACATGGCCCTCAGCAGCGTGGAGCACGACGCGGTGGTGAGCGACGCGTCCCTCAACGACGACGAGCGACTGGAGGGACTCAAGAAGCAGGTGATGGTCATGAAGAAGACAAAGAAGAAGAAGGAGAAGATCGAAAAGAAGGAGAAGGAAAAGAAGAAGAAGGAGAAGAAGAAGCGAAAGGAGAAGAAGGCCGAAAGCGAGCGGGTGGCCAGAGAGTTCTCCTCCGCTTCCTCCGCTTCCTCCGCGTCGTCGTCGTCGTCGTCGTCATCGTCCTCGTCCTCGTCGACTTCTTCTTCTTCTTCGACGCCGTCGACGTCGTCGCTGCTCAAGCACGCGCACCACCTTCACTCCGGCGGACTGCCGCAGCCGACTGCGCACGTCGTCAGCAGCAGCGGCGGCCAAGCTCTCGTGCGCGTGCTGTCGTCGCCGGCGACGTCGAACCCGTCGGAGGAGTTTGAAGGCGTGAAACTCTACGGCGGCAGCGGCGGCTGCGGTGCGCCCAAGGCGGGCTTCTCGCTCAAGTCGTCGGCGAGCTCGGCTGAAATGCTGAACATGATATCGCGCGAGGGCCTGGCCGCGGCGGCGAGCGCCGGGAACGGCGGCGAACCCGCCGCCGGAGCGAAAAGAGCGAAAGCGGCGGCCGAAAGCGAGAAGGAGAGCGAAAGCGACAGCGAGTCCCACGCACATCACCATCATGGCGGCGCGCAGCAGCAGCAGCAACAACAGCAACAGCAGCAGAAGAGCAACTCGTCGCGTCGGTTGCGGGTCGTGCGCAGCGACGAGGTGCCCGCCGACATCATCAGCCGCTCGGCTTCGTCGGCTTCGCCCTCTGCCAAGGCCACCATTGCCGACGACCAGCAGCCCGCGCCGGCCAGCGACGAGGGCCCCGACGACCAGCAGCAGCCCAAGAAGCAGCACCACACGCGGCTGCTCGAGCGCGAGCGACGCAAGCGGACGGACTCGGTCAAGCGGGTGACGGTCGACTGGGACGACTTTGTGCTCGACGAGGCCGACGAGGAGAACGTCAACATCCTCTCCATCGCGCCCTCCATCTCCTCCTCGGCCTCGTCGCCCGCAGTGCCAACCTCGGCCGCCAAAGAGTCAGCCTCGTCGTCGGGGTCGCCGTCGCTGGTCAAGTCGATGCCGGCACCCTCGTCGCGCTCGGCCCTGCGACGATCGCACTCGAGCTCGCCCACCACCGGCCGCCGGGTACACAAGCGGAGCGACAGTGTGGGCAGCCGCGGCAGCAGCGGGAGCGGCAGCAGCGGACGGCGCGGCGCCGGAAGCCACGGCAGCGGCGGGCGGAGACAGGCCGGCGCTGCTGGGGAGTTGGGCCTGGACGACAATGAAGATGAAGGTGAGGAAGAAGAGGAGGAGGAAGACAACGACGACAACGACAACGAGGATGCGGACGACGAGTTCAGCCAGTCGGGCGTGGCGCCGGGCATGCTCTCGTTCCGTGCGGCCACCTTCGCCAAGATCATCGAGAAGCTCGTCCTCTTCGCCGCCATCAAGCAAGGCACGCCCTTCTTCCCTTTTGGTCCGATAGTTATTCTCTTCATCATTTGTTTTTTAATTCTTTTGCGTAACCGGGCTCTCTGCTGTTTTACCCCGTTTCCGGTGGTGGGCACTTAATTCCTATTTTCTTAATTCCTGTTTCCGCCAACCGGCCAACCGCCGCGGTAACAAAACATGCAACAACCACCCGAACACGAACATGTTCTCCTTACACTCTATTTTATTATTTATTTTATTATTTTATTCTATTTATTAACATAATGTAAACAGACGAGGACAATTCGCTCGGGATCGAGGACGACTTTGCGTTCGACTGGAACTCGATACGGGAGGAGGCCATCTCGCAGCTCTCGCCGCGCTCCGAGGAGGAGATGCTCATGCGCGACCGCGAGGAACAGGAGCGGCGGGCGCGCGAGGACCGCGAACGCGAACGCGAGAACGAGAAGCGCGCTCGGACCCGCGAACGCGACCGCGAGCGGGAGAAGCGCGAGCGCGAGCGCAAGGAGATGGAGCGGGAGCGGGAGCAGCGCGAGCTCAAGACGCGCCAGGTCCGACGGTTCAACAGCGGCGACCAGCCGCCCGCCAAGCCCTTCGACATCGAGCCGCCGACTCTTGCCGCCGCTGTCGACAACAAGACACCACGTGGCACTAGTAATGCCGACAAGCGGCCGTTGTCGCGGTCGGCGGACAGGCGGCCGACGGTGGAGCGGGTCAAGCGGAGCGAGCACCGGCGCGGGAAGAGCGCGGAGGACGCGATGGCGATCAGCGAGGCCGAGATGAAGCTGCTCGCCGACAGCATGCTCGAGAAGCGGCAGCGGCAGATCGAGGAGCATATGCGCAACGCCAGCCGCAGCGCCGAGACCAAGTCGGGCGGCGGCGGCGGCTTCGGTAGCGGCGGACTGATGGCATCGCCGCCCGGCGCGCGGAGGCATTCCAAGCAGCTGTCGCCCGGGGGCGAGTCCGAAATGGAAAAGTCGCGCGACAAGCTCATGTTCGAGCAAGCCATGGCGATCATGCGGCTCGAGGAGGCGGCCCGCAGCGCTTCGAAGAAACCCAGCGGCAAAGGCGGCCGCGACAGGGAAAAGGAAAAGGAAAAGGCCGGGAAAAGCCCTGCGGCCTCGGCTTCGCCGACGTCGTCGTCGCCCACGCAGACGAGCGCCAAGCAGCTGCGCAGCGGCGGCTCCATACCGACGTCGACCACCACTAGCACCACCGGCGGCGGCGGCGGCGGCAAGAAGGGGGAGCTGAACAGCGGCGGCCTGAGCGTTGGCGCCGGAGCGAAGGAGAGCAGGAACAAGAGCAGTTCGTCGAAGAGCTTCGATGACTTTGCCGAGCAGAAGCGGAAGGAGGAGCAGCGGAAGGAGCGACAGCAGCAGGAGTCGAGCCTGCGACGAGACCGAAAGCGAAGCCCGGGCGACGAAAAGAACGAAGGAGAAGAAAACGAAGCGAAAGGTGACAAGAATGAAGCGGAGAAGAAAAAGAAAAAGAAGACGAAGAAAGAGAAGAAGGAGAAGACGAAGAAGAAGAAAGAGAAGACGAAGAAGGTTAAGGACGAAGCCGCGGATGAGGAGGCCCACTGCTCGGCGCTGTTCGACTGGGACTCGATCAAGGAGGAGGCCATGATTACCCTCCCGCGCAACGGCAGCAAAGCCGACGGCGGCGGCGACTGCGACGACAAGACATCATCGTCGGTGGCCCATCGCACCGGCACGCTCCGGTACATGCCGGCCGGCATCATGCCGCCGCGGCCGCGACCATCCCTCTCCTCCAGCGTCTCGTTCCCCTCGCCCTCGACCTCGCCGTCGGGTGCGCCGCCCACGTTCGCCTTCGGCCCGGCCTCGTCGCCCACGTCGCCCGATGGCCCTCAGAAGAAGAAGCGGCCGACGCTCCTCGAGATCCTGGATGTCGACCCGGACGCGGACGCCAACGAGACAAGTGTCGACAGCAAGACGAAAGCGAAGACGAAGGCGACGACGGCAGCGGTGCCTCCGATGAAGCGGAGCACAACGTCGCCGGGCGGGCTCACGCGGGGTGACGTGACTCAATCGACGCGCGAGAGCGGGAACCGACGGCGGAAGGAAAATGAAAAGGAAACAAAGAGGGAAAAGGACCAGTCCACGGAGGAGGTCAGCCCGCGCGCCGCGCCCACGCGGCGCCGGAAGGCGGCGCATCACCACAGCCTCGAGCGCTCGTCGCCGGTGAAGAATGACAGGAATGCCAAGCTTGTCGATAGCGACGATGACGACGACGTCGACGGCAACGGCGACGCCATGATCCGGCGTCACAAGATCCTGCGGGAGCGGACCAAGAAGGTCATCAACGATTCGCGCGACGTCGACAACAGCAGCGGCCCCGTAAGTCGCCAGCCCTACAGCATCGGCACATACCTGTCGCCGGGTCCGGATGTCGACGGTCGACGCGCGCGCCGGCTGCGGATGGCCAATGCAACGCCGATCCGGCGGCGGCCGCCCACGCCCGGCCATGCCATCGCCGGCATCTCGGGCAACGCGCGCGAGCAGCCGACCATGGTCGAGGCCTTCGTGCTCAGCTACAAGTCCATCTTCACCCCGCGCGACCTGTGCCAGGCGCTCGTCAAGCGCTACACCACCGCCCCGCCCCGCGCCGCCGACGCCAACAAGATCCAAGAAGGGTGCGCCCGGCCCGGTCCTCACCGCCAACCAAAGCGATCAATTTCTGAATGTGTGTCGTGTCGTGCGTGTCGTGTTGTTTTTCGGCCCTAAATTTAGGGTGGTGAGCGTGTTCGAGCAGTGGATCAATCTGCAGGTGATGGACTTTTACGAGGACAACGAGACGCTGCGCCTCTTCAAGGCGAGTCCGCTCAAGAAGGAGCACCGGGAGGGCCTCCTCATGCTGCTCGAGCAGAAGCGCAAGCAGCTGCGCCAGGAGCGCTTCCAGGCCCTCGCCGCCTCGACCTCCATCGCCGCCCAGCCCGTGCGCCAGTCCCTCGAACGCCCGCTTTACCGGTACAGCATTTATTTTTTGTTTGTATTTTTATTCTCTTTTTTAATTCGTAATAATAATAATAACGTGACGTGTCATTTCTTCATAGGGCGCCGGGCCACAGCGCGTCGCAGATCTACACGCCGCGGGAGACGCGGGGGGAGCCGACCGGCGCGCCGTGGGACCGGAACGGAGGCCGAGGCCCGACTACCTACCGGCCCGACCCGCGGCGGGCGAGTCGCGACGTGGGCGGCGGGTTCGACCCCAACCACTGGATGTCCCTCTCCCAGTCGCTCTCGCTCTCCTTCTCGTCCAAGAACCTCAACAACAAGAGCCCGTGGGTGCGCATCAAGGTGCGTTTCGTGTCTTGTGACTGTCCTCATTATGTTTTTTCTGATGGAACGCGCGTGTGTCGTGTGTCGTGTGTCGTGCGGCAACAGTCGTCCGAGATGGCCCAGCAGATGGCGTTGGTGGAGCATAGGCTTCTTCGCGCCGTACCCAACAAGGTGCGACGGCGAGTGCGGGATACGATGTCGTCTGTAGGGTAGAGGGCTAACATGTGGTGGTGGTGGTTGGTTGGTTGGTCGCTGCAGGAATGGCTGAATGTAAATTGGACGCGCAAGGCCAAGGAGCTCCTGGCGCCCAACATCCTCGCCCTTTCGTGCCACTTCAACGTCGTACGTGTCCGCACGCACCATGACACGACCGCACACACGCACCCGCACACACGCACACACGCGCTGTCAACGAAACAGAGCACTCACCGAATCACCGCGTTGTCGCTGTGCTTCTGCGCAGATGAGCAATTGGGTGACGTACGAGGTGCTATCAGAGCCGAGAAACGACGCCCGCGCCAAGCTCATCCAGAAATTCGCCCGCATCGCCGTGGTACGGAAAACACCCCGAATACGCACGCAACACTTGCAACACACGCAACGCCACACGACACACACGACACACACGAAGTGGTGGCTGAACACGACATGTCAAACAGAAATGCCGACAGCTGAACAACTTCAACGGATTGTTGGAGATCTTGGCTGGCCTCGGCAATGTGGCGGTCACCCGCCTCACCAAGACCTGGAAAGATGGTAATCCCCCTCCCCGCTCTCGCCTGCCACATTCGTTTAGCCTGCGCTGACCGTCGCGTCTTCGTTCTTCTTCCTTCGCGAAAACGTTCGTGCTTCGCTCTTTTGCCTTCGTCTTCTCCCCCCCCCCACAAACAGTCGATCCGGAGACGCGGCGGGTGCTCAAGCAATTGGACGAGCTGATGTCGCCCACGCACAACCGGCGCAACTACCGCCGGCTCGAAGCCGAGGCCGTGCCTCCCTGCGTGCCCTACCTCGGCGTCTCCCTCGGCGATCTCTTCTTCATCGAAGCCAACGAAATGGGTGCGTCCTTGCTTCCCTCACCTCACCGTGTGCGGTCGTGCGTGTGCGGTCGTGTGTCGTATGTGCGTGTCGTGTGTGCGGTCGTGTGCTGATGGTGGGATGTGTGCAGAGATCTCGGGGCTGGTCAACTTTGAGAAGCTGGAGATGATCGGGAAGGTGATCTACACGCTGCTGCTCTTCCAGAACGTGTCGTACCAGTTCGAGCCCGACGAGTGCCTCCAGGCGTTCCTCGCGTCGCCGCCCCAGGTGCCCGACGAGGACAGCCTCTACTCCCTCTCGCTCTCCCTCCAGCCACTCGAGGGCGCCTGAACGAGCCCCGTCGACGCACACAACACACCAAACAACACGACGTGACACAACATGACACCCACTTAAATATATATATATATATACTATATAGATAGAAAATGTGTTGATAAACCACATATACTCGGGCTGGATGGCGATTGGTGGGGTTCTCGTCGACAGAACTGTCGTTCGACGTTTGCGGGGTGTGAAATTCATTTCATTATCGTAACTCAAAAAAAAACAACCACTCTTGAGCTCTGGGCCCCCATCTTCTTCATCCTCTTTTGCTCCGGTGGCCCCGCGTCTCTTCCACGAGAGCAAACGTGAGTACTCCACACACACACTCTCTCTCTCTCTATGCCCCGTCGGGGAACCCCATCTCCGCTGTTCATTCTTGTTACCCGACATTTAAATGCGATTAATTTGTAAACTGCATTTAAAGTTGTGATTATGCGCCTGCACGGTTTCGTCGTCGCTGTACTCGTTCATCATCATCATCCATGAATTGAAGGCCTTTAATTGGTTTGCCGTGAATTCCGATTCGTGATTCCTAATTGCTTAACAAGTTGTATATTTTTAAAATCATTAAATCGTTTTTGGCGCGGCTGCGCATTCCACTTCTTTCCATTAGTCGTACTAATGGACAATGAGCCGCCCCAGCAGATGAGGTCGAGGGAGCCGTCGCATACGTTAGAGTCCAGCTTTGTGATCGAGGGCGACGCCTGCGACCTCGAAGAGAGCGGCCCCGGTAGACCTCCTCCCCCCTCCAATCAAATTCCTATTACATCATTGACATAATAAATAAAATCAATAAAATAAAATAAACCAATCCAGTTCATTTATTCGTTTTAATATTTTAATTATTATTATTATTATTATTATTATTCGTTTGTTTACTCATTTGTTTTGGAATTGTGTAGTATTGGGTCTGCAGTCCGACGCCTCGCTGAGCTCGTTCCACAACGACCCGGCGTGCCATGACCCACACCTCGGCCTCGAGAGCGGCAAGCTCGCCGACCCCACAATCGTCGACCACGGCGACCACCACCATCACAAGAAATCCGCCGGTACCTGCGCGTGCGCGTGCGGTCATGCGTGTGTCGTGTGCGTGTGCGGTCATACGTGTGTCGTGCGACTGACCCGGCGTGTGCGGTGGTGCGTGTGCGGTGGTGCGTGTGCGGTGTGCGGTGCCGACCACCAGGCAAGCGCAACATTAATGCGTTCCAGCTGGCCATGCTGACGTATTTCTTCACCTGCGGCGGTCCCTTCGGTATCGAACCGTCGGTCGGCGCCGCCGGCCCCGTCATCACCCTCGTCGCCCTCTTCCTCGTGCCCGTCCTCTGGTCCCTGCCTCAAGGTCTCCACCACCGCACACGCACACGACCGCACACACCACACACGCACGCACCGCACACACTCATAAACCAACGTGTGTGCGGTGTGTGTCGTGTGCGTAGCGCTGATGTCTGCGGAGCTTTCGTTGATGGTGGACGAGAACGGCGGCAACATCGTGTGGGTGCAGCGCGCCTTTGGGCCCTTCATCGGGTGGATCAACGCCTTCAACTACCTCGTCTCCGCCTTCGCCTCCATGGCCCTCTACCCCATCCTCGTCATCGCCTACCTACCCCAGCACTGGCAGGTACCCACCCCACCCGTGCGTGTGCGTGTGCGTGTGCGTGTGCGTGTGCGGTGGCTGACGCAAGGTGGGACACAGGACGATCTGACGGACGGCGAGGCGTTTGCGATCAAGTTTGGCTTCGTGTTCATCATCATGCTGATCAACATGTGGGGCATCTCGTGGGTCACGCGCCTGTCGCTCATCTTCCTCTTCTTCATCCTCTCCCCGTTCCTCGCCGAGTTCATCGCCCTCCCGATCATGGGCGGCCTCCAGTGGGACCGCCTCGGCGACGTCCCGGCCTTCACCGACATCCAATGGTCCCTCTTCATCTCCACCACCCTCTGGTCCTTCGGTACGTGTCGTGTCGTGTCGCGGTGCGTGTCGTGTCGTGTCGCGGTGCGTGTCGTGCGGCGCTGATGTGTGTGAGCGGCTGGGGGCAGGTGGCTATGACTCCATGGGATCGGTGGCGGGCGAGGTGAAGGACGGCCGCAAGACCTACATCACGGGCATCTCCATCGGCCTTCCCCTCAATGTACGATCCACCACTTGCTCGCCCACGACATGATCAACGACACGACACGACCAAACGACACCAAACGACACGACCAACGACACGACACGACACCAACGGCTCACGCTGGGGGGGGGGCTGATCAGATTTTGAACTATTTCCTGCCGGTGCTGGTGGGTTGGGTCTACACGCCCGACCGGAGCGTGTGGGTGTCGGGCTACTTCACCACCCTCGCCTACAAGATGTCCTCCGTCCTCGGGTACTCACTCACCCCCCCCGTGTGGCGTGTGCGGTGTGCGGCGTGTGCGGTGGTTGACGTGCGTGCGTGCGACGTGTGCGGTGGTTGACGTGTGTGCGTGTGCGTACCAGGTATTATATGATGGCGGCGTCGGTGATGTCCAACTTTGGCACGTTCAACGTGACGATGGCCTCCATGGCCCGCGTGCTGTGGGCCATGGCCCGTGCCCCCGGCGACGCCCAGCAGCTCCCCTCCTTCGTCGCCCTCTCCTGGCGCCGCGCCAAGACCGGCACCATCCGGTACACAGCACCGCACGACACACACAACACGACACACGACACGCAACACGACACACGACACGTGCGACGGAAATAGTTATCATGGCTGACCACCTATGATCGCTTTTGTTCGTGTGCGGTGCGTACGTGCGTAGGCCGATCATGGGAATCGTGATCGTAGCTATCGTGGTGACCATGCTCTCGCTCCTCTCGTACGACATCCTCGTGCAGGTACGGCCCTTGTGGTCTCTCCATCCCATCCCAGCCATCCATCCATCTTCTCTGTGCGCGGGCGTGGTGTCGGAGTGAAGTGTCGCGAGTTGGGTGGTGGCGGCGGCTGTTGTCGTTGGGTCACCCCAAAGAAAGCGCACGCGAGCTATCCACCGAAAACGACGTGGAGCACGCCCTGAAACCCGCCCGGAGGGTTCCGGCACAGGCCTCTTATTTTCTTTTCCTTTTTATTTCTTTTGTTCATTATTTTCTATATTTATTTTACATTTAAATAACGATATAAATGTAATATATTCTAGATACAAAAATGGTTGCTCTCTTCCTGTTTGAACCGATGCTAACATACGAATGCACAGGTGACGATGTTCATGCGAGTCGTGAATTTGCTGTTGGAGTACTTTGCGCTCATCCGCCTCAAGTACACCGAACCCGACACCCCGCGCCCGTTCGTCGTCCCTGGCGGCAAGTTGGGGGCCTATCTCATCGTCCTCCCCACCATCGCCCTCTCCGGTACTCCTCCCCCATATAACAATTCTTGTTCCGTTATTTAGAAACTTATTATGTTATTGTTTTTTTCTTTTATCTATTTATTTTTCTATTATTATATTTACAGTAAATTGGATGCTGTGTTGCTTTTCTCCTGTCGCGCATGGTAGGTTTGTTGTTCGCGGGAGGCGACTGGCAGCTGTGGACGATCACCGGCGGCGCCAACGTGATCATCGTTCTGACCTACTTCCTCAAGGTCGCCGGCCAGTGGCTCTGGCGGCGATACTCGCCATTGGCACCCAACGACGAAGAGACCAAACGCATCATCAACTGATCAGCTGATGATGTGCTCTACACCTACTACACCTGTACTCCCCTCTTCTCCTCCTCTCTGTCGCAAGCCAATCACCAGAACGGGGTTCGAACCAGACTGACGATTGGCCAATTTTGTTAGCACTCTTTTGTAGACTTGACAAACAAGCAGCCTACAAGCCTCTCTGGACCCTCATCAACACCACATAGCCCACATGACGTGTCTTCACCAACATAACATAGACACAACACATGTTGTTAAAAAAACCGGTGTATGTTTTTGTTCTCAACGCCCCCTGGGCGAATGTACATTCGTGCACGCGCCGGTGGCAGACCGCGGTGGGCTGAGTAGTTGGTTGGCGGGAGGGAGGGAGTAGATACAAGTGACGGCGGCGATGGTTGGGGGGGTTGGTAGTTTGTACAGGTGAGGTGGATGGCTTAGGTCTTCTTGTACTCGGTCAACACCGGGTAGATGTTCTCGAAGGCCTCGTAGATCTCCTCTCGCACCTTGGCGCCCGTGAGCACGATCTTTCCCGACACGAAGATGAGCAGCACGATCTTGGGCTGCACCATGCGGTAGATGAGACCCGGGAACAGCTCTGGCTCGTACTGCACGTGGTGTACATGCACAGCACAGCATGGAGATTAGGCGAGCTGCCTCTGGCAGATGAGCAAGTAGAGAGCGGGGGAGGGGGATGGAGGACGTACGCTGCAGTAGTGGTTGTGGGCAAAGGCGAGACCCTCGAGACGAATGGGGAATCGCACATCGCACGAGCCGACGATGTTCTGAATCTTGAAATCGAGGAACTTGGCGGCGAATCCGAGCTTCTGGATGATGCGAGCGTACTTCCTGGCAGCCAGACGAGATGCCTCTTCGCTCTTGGCGCCCGTACACACCATCTTGCCCGATGCAAAGATGAGCGCGGTCGTCTTCGGCTCGCGAATTCTCATGATGACGGCAGCAAAACGCTTCGGGTTGTACTCGGCGTTACGTGCATGCAGTGCGATGTTCTTGAGGTCGAGCTTGCACCCCAAATTCACCGTGGAGACGATGTTTCTGTTGCAGAATCATCAACATCATGAGAATGGAGACAAGAATGGACTTTGAAGAAGGAGACAATCTGAGTAACGAGGTTTGAATTTGAACCCCCCCAGAAACTCAATGACTACGTACTGCAGAGTAGGGACAATGCCCGACGGGTGCTTGGTGCGATCCACGTCGCTGTCCATATCGTCGCTGGCAGCAGTCGATTGCGCGGGCTCAGAGTACTGCAGTGAAGGCTGAGGAGGCTGCGAGGAGGGCTGTGACGAGATGTTCAATTGATGAAGTGGGGGTAGCTGGGTGCTCCCGGGTGCCGACGGGTGGCCGTGCACCGCCATGCCCGCGCTCTGAAGGACATTCGTCAAGCTCGGTAGAGTAATCCCGCTCATCTTGTTGTATGTGTGAATCGACTCCTTCTCCCTTGAATTCGATGCCGAAAGCAAGAATTCGCGCAACAAATCAACAAAAAAATTGGCCCCTTTTTATACCCGGTGATGCCAACGTTTCCGTTGAAAATCCTTCCTTGCCGATCCTGGTTTTTTCTCAGCTTGTTGCAAGGCGTCGTTTCCCGCAACAACCCAGCTTCAGCTTCACGAAGATGAGGCTCGCCCTTTGCCTGGCGCTGGTCCTGTGCGGCCTTGCGTTATTCGCGGTGGGCACGGTGAAGGGCAACGTCGATGAAGAGCCGATGTGGTTCGAGGAAGACTTCGTCATGGAAGGCCTGATCGCTACGCGCGAGCTGGTCGAAGATGGGATCCTCCCCGAGGGCGGAGTGGGCAAGCTCAAGCGCCTCAACCCCAACAAGCGCTTCGCCTACGCTCCCCCCGCCTCGGTTCACTGCCCCGGAATCGAACAGCACGAAGTCAACACCTGCTTCACCTACTTCAAAGATGACGACCAGGTAACCTTTGTTCAATCTCTTTCAACTCCATCTTCAAGATTTGAAGTTGTTATGTAATCTCACCATCATGTTTTCACCATCACCCGGGTCTCCCGTATATTCCGCTCCTGCGCAGAAGTGGTATATGCAGAACTGCTGCGCGTGCGACGTGGATACAAAGTTCAACATCAATAACCCGGCGAACGGCCCCCACGACCAGCCCTCGCGGTGGATCTTCTTCAACCAGGGCGCTATCTCGCCCGGACAGAAGTGGAAGCTCTTCTTCATGGACGACAACCCAACGCTGGAGCCCGCTCTCTACTCGGCCGAGCTCGCTGACTGCTGATGGACAGCCACCTCCTCCACCACCATCATCACCATCATCTTCACCACCATCTCTTCTGTCATCTTCTCCTCTGCGGGCACCTAAAACTTACATTCTGTCTCATCCGCGTACACTGTCACACTGAACGGTACCTGCTTACTCTTCGACGAGGGAGCTGTGAGTAGAGGTGGTGTGCTGCTGCTCGGCAATCTTCTCGAGAAGGTGAGAGTAGGCGGCGACCATCTGCTGTTCGCTTTCGGCCTTGGCTGCCGGGCAGTGCTGCAGGAACTTGAACGCGAGGCTCATCCACTTCTCGGCCTCGTCGTGCTTCGACAATCGGTACTTGTGCGTCCCGTTGTTCCAGGCCTTTGCCAGCAGCCTGACGCATGTCACCCCCCCAAACCCCAAAGAAGTGAAGTCGAGTGAGCCATCGCTTGCGTCCAAGAGCTGGTTCAAGGTTGCGTCAAGTTACGTTACCATCGCAGTTCGATCTGAGGGAAAGCCGAGGATTCGGTCTCTCGCTCGCCCAGCTTCTCGATAAGCTTGTAGGCCTGCTCGTAGAGCGGCCACGCACTTTCGCGCCCTCCATTCAATGTGATCAGCTGTCGGAAAAGGGCGCCTGTTGTATACGCGGTCACGGTGAGCGCGCGTATGTCAGGGCCAAAGTGGGACAAAGAAGGGGAGATGAGGAGTCGTAACTGCAGGTGACGTAGTTGATAGAGCGGGCGTTGGTGTTGATGTGAAGGCAAGTCGTCAATGCCTCCATGGCAGCTGCAAAGCGAATCAAAGTGTCAGATTTCTGTTTTCCTCTCGTTGGCACGAATCGTTCATACCTGCAGTGCGCCTTGGCGAACTGTCCAAGCAGAGTGCAGCCATGGACTCGAATACGACGGGGCTGATCCCAGGTACAGCTGCAGCGCTCTGAGCGAGTGGAATGAACACACATATTTGAGTGTTGGAGCACACAACTACTGGAGCGGAGTGAACTCACCTGAATAACCGCAACGAGGCTTTGGTCGTTCAGCTTCAGGGCTAGCTTGGCGTGCAGTTCCATGACTTTGATCTGTGGGATGCGCTGGTCGACATGGGCCGACGTGGCACCACCGCTGTGACTGACGGAAATGAATCTGGCGTGTTGGGCGGATAGCTCGTAGCAGGCATCGATCCACTTCACCACCTCTTTCAACACGTCCTGGCAGATTGTATTAGTTGTTTGATCAGCCAATAGAGTGACTCAAGGCGAGAGGGCATTAGTTACCTCGTTGAAGCCTTGCGCTTTTTGTTCCTCCAACTTAGCCGCGATGGCGAAGAGCAGGCTCGACTTCTTGGTCTCCAAACTCTCGCGGCTCATGGGTAGGACGCTAGAGTACTGAACTCGATCTCACATGTGAGAATATACTGTTGCTATTCTCTTCGCGTGTCCGTGGCGTACCTCGAATGCATAGCGATAGCACCTGTAGCAAAGTTCCAACTCTTGCTGTTTGTTTGCCTGTGTTCTGAGCGGGAATGAGCTGAGTAGACAACCTGCAGTATTTGGTGGTTTTCTAACTTACCCAAACTTCCAGCAGACACCGATAAGCCACTCGAGCTCGTCGAGGCTACTGAACATCTGTACTCCGAGCTCCTTCAGTTTCTCCGTACCCAACCGTAGATAGTAGACCGTCTTCGTCAAACCCTCAAGGGTAGTACTGCACGGACACCAAGTAAGCCTACCGCATTCACAGGGTTACCTACAGTGGCGGAGGTACCTTTCCTCGCCGTTGGTTGACAGCTTTATCAAGTTGCGGAGGACCTTGCCGATGTGGCCCAACCGATCAGCGCTGATAAAGGTGGACATGATGGCCTCCAGCGCGTGCATGGCCACCGATTGCCGCTTCATCTGAACGTCACCATAGGTCATGATGGCAAACAAGAAATTGTTTAAAAGAGCTTTCGCGTACCGCCCACGCCTCCTCTGCAGCGATGTCGAGATACTTTGAATCGAAATCCTCACAAGCGCAAAGTGCAACAAGCTCTGCCTTAGCTGAACACAAAATGAGTTGAAATTGCATGGGCATGATCAACGCACGGTGGTGCTACCTTGCTCGTCGTCTGGGACATGAAGCTGGATCAAGAACGAGAGGAAATGCGTCGCCAGGTTTGACTCACGAATATTCGCTTCGTTTGCGTGCTTCAGTGCTTGGTCGTACTGCTTGAGCTGCATGAAGCACCGAGCGATGATCCTGTGAACGCATCGTACGCTTAGCATATTGAGTCCGGCGGCTCAGGAAGGGCCAGCGTACCGATGATAATTAGCTTGATTGGCCGTGTCACTTACGTCGAGCAAGCGGTAAGAGCGCTCAAACCACTCCAGACTGCGGGTAAAGTCGTCCCTCTGGCCATACGAAATTAGTTGGAGCCGCAACCTGAACCATGGTTGAACGTACCTGAAACAGGACGGCCCCAACGTTCCAGAGCAGCTGTTGAAAATGCTTCAGCTCGGCAGCGGCAAGCCTGTGTCTTCCACTATGATGATCTAGAACACCCAAGCCATCGTAAGAACCGGGCCAAACAAGACACCTGAAGCGTGTGCGCGAGTAACCTGAAGTGGTCTGCTCAACCACCGTGCACGCTCTCGAATGATCATTGACTTCTTCGGAGACCAGAAGGTCGAGCAGTCGGAATCGGATCTTGCCCAGATCGCCATCTTGAGAGAAGCGACTCTGAAGAAACGTATAGCCAAGGATCGCTGCCTCGGGTCTGAGGACTGCGTTAAGGAACAACTCTCGACCTCTAGGCGTACAGCGGGTGCAGCGTACCGTTTATTGTCCCTGGCCAAATCGCACGCCGCAAATGCCCTAGGGAATACACGCTGAGGAGTGTGCCTACACGGACGTCAAGCATAAGTCCATGTGGTCACGTACATGTCGAGGGCGTTGGTGTCCGGGTGTGCGAGTAGCTTTTCGAGATAGTTCTCCGCTAGGTCAAAGCGCCCTTCCGCGAAGTTCAGCTTGGCGAGCAGATACAGAACAGAATGGTTCTCTTGCATCTGTTGAGATGAGCAACTCTCGTAAGAAGTCTGTCATAGCTCTGCATGAATGATAAAGGCGTACCTCACTGGCGAGCTGAGCACTTTGCTTGGCCCTATCGTTGTTTCCGGTGCTGAGCAAACAGTGCGCCATGAGTCGCAGAGTTCTAGCTTGCTTGGGTACTGCTTGCGCTTGGTTCGAGTCCTTGCTCATCAACTCATACGAACTGCGGCAGTGAGCTGATTGCCTTGCAAATAGATCTCTACAGCAACGCGGAAGAAAGGTACCTCTCAAGCCACATGATGGCGTCGGAGTAGCGCGCCTGCTGGTGCGCCTGCACCCCATAGTTGTAGCACAGCATAGCTGTGGGCTTTACCTACGCGAGATCACAGTGTTAGTCAGTAGTTCGGCGGCCGTATGCAGTGGACTATGGTGAGCAACCTCTTGCGGTACGAGTGCGATGAGAGCCTTCGCCTTCTTCAGAGCCTCATGAGCGCTTTCGGCGTCTTTAGTCGCCCAGTACAGCTCCATTCTACGCGGAGATGATGGTGAGTGAGAAGCTACCGAAACACGAGCTAAGTCACCACATACTGGCTGATGAAGAACATGAAGAGCATCTGCTGCACTTCGCCTTCAGCTGCTTGCTCGCTGAACTCGGCCTCTATCCTCTGCCACAGCTTTTCAACCAAATTGTTAGCGTATAGATGCAGGATTCTAAGGACCGATGGTTGGCTTACTGTTGAAGCAGTAGTGAAGCAGTTCAGTGCCATTGACGCGTTGTTGAGATCTGTCAACAGCAAGTGTAGTGTACGTCGCATAAGGCTGAGCCCAGACCCCACTCAAGATGGACGCGAATACGCACCGCTCCAAAGCTTGCCCGTCCTCGAGAAGAACTTGAACGAGCATACGATTGTCTCAGGGTCGTTAGGCAGGCCTGCAGTTGCCAGCGACAGCAGATCGCACGCAAGGTGGCGCACTAGCATGGTCACGGAGAGAGTAGGGACTGTGAGGTCAGGTCAGCGTTCTGTGTTGTACGTCATGTCCGCACCTCGCACGTTGAGCTCCTTGGAGGGCAGGTCCTTCCTCCCCATTTCAATCGCAACATTCCAGAGTCGGAAGGCTGTGCATGCGGTTGCCGTGGGCGTAAGCAAAGCTTTACGGACGTCTCTACGCGTAGAAGATTTGCGCACGTACCGATCTCCTTGAGTAGTCTGCTGTAGTTGGGAGCAAACGAAACCGAAGCATGGAGTTCGTTTATATGCTTGCGTAGCGCCGATGTATCAATGGCGTCCAGTCGGCCTTCTTGTGCCTTCGTCTCGATCTCGGAGACCAGGTCTGCACAGACAGGAAGATTAGCGCCAATTAGGATACTAGCATTCGTCCTGGTACCTTCAAGCTGCGTCATGAAGGAGTCGGCGATCTGCACCTCTTGCATCTTGACTCGACGTGTGCACTTCTTCTTGCGTTAGTGTAAACAGCCACTACGTCGAGGTAGGGCGGCGCCATCTTTCGTTTGCCTGCCTTTCTTTTGATTTGTTCTGTGTTTCGTTTTTCGTTTTTCGTTTTTCGTTTTTCGTTTCATTTCGTTTTTCGTTTCGAACCACCGCGGTGCCACAGTCATGCACGGAGTCTGCACCCCCGCCAGGCAAGGCTTCTCCGTGGTGCACCATCGAAGGGTGCGGTCTCCTCAGTTCCGGGTACCTCGGGAGATGTTTCGCTCCTGCGCAACATAGCCAGCCCTGCCTTTGCACTATGGCTTTTATGGTTTAGGCTTTTTGACCTGCACGCCTTCTGCCACAAGTAACAGTAACTTGCCTACCGACCTGCTGGCTCTGATCAAGAACAACTCGGCCTCGACCTCGATGTACTCGCTGTGGGACCCGCCCACGGCGGCGATTCTGGCCGACTCGTCGCTCATCGTCTGCTGGCCGAGTGAGCTTCTCGGAGAGTCGGAGCTGATTGTCGACATATCTCTGCATGGTGACGAAGCGGCGACAGGGTTCAACGTGCGCGAAAAACAGGGTCCCTTCGCTCGACTTTGGAGGCGCTGCACTTCCCTCGGCTCTCCCTTCTGTTCTACCTCCACTATCTCAGTTCAGTCAAAGGCCAGATCGACAAGCTTGGATCCATTCAACGCTTCAATCTGCCATTTGGCATCAATCTATTCGCATCTCTTCTGCATCTCTTTGTTGATCTACGAACTGTCGCTCAATTCGGGTAATGTCGATCTTCTTCGACTACGACGTTACGCTGGCGTTCGCCATCATAACGGTGACATCGGCCTTGTTCTTCGTCGTGCTGCCCTTCCTGGCACGTGATCAGCAGCGTGGCCGCATCAAGCCGGGTCCACGCAAGAACACCAAATTCTCCCACCAATCGTATGATGTCGCACCACCCGAGGCGCTGGGCGAGGGTCCCATCCGCAGAGCTTCTGACCTCAAGCCTGATGAGGAGCTCTACGATTCGTTGAAGGACACAGAAAACAACCTCGTCGTAGCCACCCTCTGCCAGAACTTCGCGTACCATTCCTTCTCCTTCTCAGAATGCATTCTATCAATCAAATGCAATCTTTTTCTTTCTACCTGCCGATCCCTTTGATGTTCTTCCACATCCTCACCACCGGCGGCATTGTGCAGGAGGAGCGAGAGGCTGTTCGGCAACTGCCGATGCCTGGGCACGCGTCGCTTCGAGAACGATGGCACTCGCGGTCCCTACGAGTTCCGCACCTACAAGGAGATCGCCGCCCTTGCGCGCTACTTTGGCTCTGGCCTCAAGAACCTGGGCGCCAAGCGGGTGAGTGACTGTTGCCTCCTTCTGTTCTGATGTTGTCGCTGTCAGGCTTCTTCTTGTGCAATCCGTCTCTCCGGCCGCAGCTAATGTGTCGCGACGGGTAGGGCGAGCATATTGGCATCTACAGCAAGAACAGGGAGGAGTGGGTGATCGCTGATCAGGCATGCAGCGCTTACTCTCTCACCATCATCGCCCTCTACGATACTCTCGGTACATAGCGTTGCCATTACTCTCTCTCTCTCTCTCTCTCTCTCTCTTTCACACACACGCACACACAACGCGCTGACCTTTGGTCCGTTTCATCTTCTGCGCTCATCAGGTGAGAATGCCGTGGCCTATATTGCCAGCCACGCTTCCACCCGCTTTGTCGTCGTCTCCCGCGAAAGCCTTCGTCCCGTACCCTCTTCTTCTTCTCCTCCTCCTCCGCTGCTTTGAGCCACGACTCACGTGCAATGCAATGACTCGCGTTTGACCATCATCTTCTTCTTCTTGCAGCTGATGGGCGCGGCGCCCGACTGCCCCGAGCTCAAGACCGTCATTCTCATGGAGGAGCCCACCGATGAGGAGCGGCTGGCCGCCGAGGCGATCAACCTCCGCCTCTTGTGGTTCCAGGACGTCGTCCAGGACGGCAAGTCCAGGCCCGTCACCATCGACCCCCCGACGCCCGATGACCTCTACAGGTGTGTTTCCTCTTTTCTTCATTTTTCTTTTTCTTTTCTTTGTGTAGCAACTCATATACGACCAACATGTGGCCGCGGCTATATTGTAGCATCATGTACACGTCGGGCACCACGGGCGACCCCAAGGGCGTCCTGCTGACGCACCGCAACGTGATGGCCATGATGGCCGCCGTCAACCAGCGGGTGGCCAAGAGCGTGGCCACCCCCGAGGACGCCTACCTGTCTTACCTGCCTCTGGCTCACATCTTCGAGCGTGCCATCATGCAGTGCGCCTTCTCCCGCGGCACCCGCGTCGGCTTCTACCAGGTACTGCTCACAATTGAACTGCACCACCGCACACGCAATTGATCAGCCGTGCTGACTGCTTCTTTTTCATCATCATCAACTTTTTCTGGCTCAGGGATCGGTGCTTCACATCATCGACGACGTGCAGGAGCTGAAGCCCTCGTTCTTCGTGGGCGTGCCGCGCGTGTACGACAAGATCTACGGCAAGATCGTCAACCTCCTGCCCCAGCAGCAGGGCAAGGTGCGTTGGTGGCTCTTCCGCCGGGCCGTCGCCTCCATGGAGAAGACCCTCAGGACCGGTACCCGCTTTCACCTTTGGTTTTTACTTCTTTGTATATTTTTACTTTATATTTTTATATTGTTTTCGTTATTTCTATTTATCATTGATTTATTCATTATTAAAACTAAATAATAATGATTTTCTTGCTCAGGCAAGGAGAGCGATCTCTGGAAGTGGCTGGTCCTCAACAAGGCCAGGAAGAGGCTTGGCGGCAACGTGCGGGCCATGTTGTCCGGCGGCGCCCCACTCACCCCCGTGGTCCACAAGTTCCTCACTTGGTAGGGCACACGACACGACCAACGACACAACACACCTTTCGTTGGATGTGCAATGGAGAGTCTAATGAATGCGGGCGATTGCAGCGTGTTCGGATGCACGATCGTTCAGGGCTACGGCCTGACCGAGACCTGCGCCGGTGCCACTGCGGGCTACCTGGAGGACCCCAGCTTCGGCCACGTCGGCGCGCCCATGCCCTGCTGCGGTACGCCACACGCCGCCACAAGTGACACGAATAATTAATAATTAATAATAATAATAACAATAATAAATAATACTGACTAACAAATTGTAGTAATTATCATAATGATAAACTTGATAATTGGCAGTTACTAATTGTTTTTTATCATACGTGCCAAATCAACCAACAGAGATCAAGCTCGTGGCCGTGGACGACATGCCCGAGTACGATCCCAACGGCGAGACGCCCTGCGGAGAGGTCGTCATTCGCGGCCCTAACGTGAGCCCGGGCTACTACCGCGACACCGAGAAGACGTATGTGCCATGTCGTTCTGTGTGTCGTGTGTCGTGTGTCGTGTGTCGTTGGCATGCGCGAGTGTCGGTTGAATACTCACAATCTTATGTGCACCACTGCCAGTGCGGAGAGCTTCAGGAATGGCTGGTTCTTCACGGGTGACATTGGCCGGTGGAATCCCGACGGCACCCTCTCCATCATCGACCGCAAGAAGAACATTTTCAAGCTCTCCCACGGCGAGTACATCGCGTACGTCGCTCTCTCTTCTTTTTCCTCCTCTTGATGCAACACGCTCACACCTGTGTGTTGTGTGTTGTGTGTGTTGTGTGTGTTGTGTGTGTTGTGTGTGACATGCAGAGTGGAGAAGCTCGAGGGCGCGTTCACGAAGAGCAAGTTCGTGTCCCAGATCTGGGTCTACGGCGACAGCAACAAGGCGCACCTTGTGGCCGTCGTCTACCCCGACCCCGACGCCCTCCTCCCCTGGGCACAGAGCCAAAACATCCCGGTACGTGCGTCCGTGTGCGGCGTGTGTGTGCGGCGTGTGTGTGCGGCGTGTGTGCGCGCAATGACTCACTGCGATGTGTGTTGGTGGCGATGCGAAACAGTTGACGGGAAACAGGGCGACCGACTTCCTGACGGTGTGCAGCGACGAGCGCGCCGCCAACGCCGTGGCGCAGGACCTGCGCCAGGTGGCCAAGGCCACCAAGCTGCGCGGGTTCGAGGTGGTGGAGCGAGTGTACCTCACCCCCGAGGAGTTCACCCCCGCCAACGACCTCGTCACGCCCACCTTCAAGCTCAAGCGGCCGCAGCTCAAGAAGCACTTCAACCACCAGATCGAGTCCATGTACGCTTCGATTCCTGCCTAAGGCGACACCACCTGCTTTTCTCTCTCCAAGATTGTGTCGTCAACGATGCCCCCGTTCATCATCCACCTTCATCATCATCAACAACATCAAGCGCGACCATCTACCTCACTCACCGCCAGAGGATCGACTGCTAGGCTTTCGTCGATATATCAATCACGCCTCTTCCTTATTCAATCATCATTTTTGTTCTTCAGTGCTGTGGGCCAATAGATCACCTTCATCATCTCCATCTTCTGGCCCCGTACACGTGAATCCTCATCTGAAAAGTTATAGCTTGCGCCTCCAGCAAAAAGGCCCCAAGTTGTAAAAAGAGCGAAGAAGAAGGAGGTTGGGGTGCATGAAACGTCTGCGGGCCGAGGGCTGCACACGTCATCAAAAAAAGGGTGTATTGATACAACAACTATGTGCGCGCGCCACGCATGCTGATGATGGGTGGTGCTGGGTGGTCACGGGCGAGGGTCCTCTCTTCTCTTTTCATCGCCGGCCTACGCCCCTGTGTTCCTCCTCGCCCACCTCGGCGATGCTGTCCTCCTCCGACGTCGGTGGCGACGACGGTGGTGGCGGCTCGCGCTCCTCCTCGTCGTCGTCGTTGTCGTCATCGCCATCGTTGTCCACCACAGACTTCCTTCGTCGTCCCTGTCGTCGTTTTCGTCGTCCATCGTCTCCCTCCTTCTCTCCTTCTTCACCGTCTTCTTCATCCTTTTTGCCGTCCTTGCCCTTCACCTCTTCCTTTTCCTTCTCTTTTCCTTCCTCGTTTTCTTGTTGTGTCGTCGTTGTCGTCGTGGCCGTTGCCGTACCGGCGCCGCGCGCCTCTTCGTCGTCGTCGTCGGGCCGCCCGGGGCTCGCCGCGCGGGCCTCCGCATGTGGAGACCCCAGCGGCGTGTCCGTCGTCCACTGCGCGAGCTTGCTGTAGATCGTGTGCTGCTCGTACGGCTTCGTTCTACTCACGCGCAACACAAACATCAGCAACTCGTGAGTGTGTGCGTGTGCGGCGTGTGCGTGTGCGTACATGTAGTCGGACATGCCGCCTTTGAGGGCGCGGCTGATCTGCTGTTGGCGCGAGTTGCCGGAGAGGCCGATGACGGGAGTCGACGGCAGGTTCAGCATCCGCTCCCGCTCCCGAATCACCTGCGTCGCCGCCAGACCGTCCATCACAGGCTGCACCGCCACCACCAACCACCCGATCAGCACCGCACGACACGACACGACACGACACGTAACACATAGCACGACACGCAACACATAGCACGACACGACACGACACGCACCATTTCGATGTCCATGAAGATGAGATCGAATCGGCGGCCCTTGGCGACGGCGTCGAGGTAGATGCTGAGGGCCTCCTCGCCGTTGTCGGCGGCCTCGCAGTAGTGGCCCCGCCGCTCGAGGAACCGCAGGATGACCCGCTTGTTGATCGAATTGTCCTCCGCCACCAGGATCCGCTTCGGCGTCATCGGCTTGCTCTGCTCTCCACCCAAACCAAAAACGAAAAACGAAAACGAAAACAAAAACATGTGGTTGTGAGGACATGCGTGCGTGTGCGGTGCGTGCGGTGGGCGTGTGCGGTACGTTGGCGCTGAGCGTGAGCTCCTGCGATTGGCGCGCCTGGTTCTCCTTGAGCTTCTCCTTGGCTCGGTTGTGCTGCACACAGAAGAAGAACACAGAAAACCACTTTTAGTTCCAAGCCGTGCGTGTCGTGCCGTGCGTGTCGTGCGTGTCGGGTCGTGTGCGACGTGCGTGTCGTGCCGTGCGTTGTGTACCTCTTCGAGTTGGGAGGGGGTGACGTAGCCGCACTCCATGGTGAAGTGGAAGGTGGAGCCGGCGCCCTTGCGGCTGCGCACGTCCAGGACGCCGCCCATGAGGGCCACGAGGCCCTTGGCGATCGACAGGCCCAGCCCCGACCCCCCGTACTCCCGGTAGGTCTTGTGCGACGCCTGCGAGAACCGGTCGAAGATGCGCGACTGCTCCTCGTGGCTCATCCCAATCCCCGTGTCCGCCACCTCGATCTGTCGACCGTCATCAGCGTGTGCGGTCCCGCGCGTGTCGTGTGTGTCGTGTGTGTCGTGCGTGTGTCGTGCGGTACCCGCAGTTCGGTGGTGTCGCGGTTCTCGCGGTGGAGGTAGTAGGCGGACACGGTGATGCCGCCGCGGTGGGTGAACTTGATCCCGTTGCTCAGCAGGTTGACCACCACCTGCATGAACCGATCCGGATCGCCCCGCACCACCAACACCGGCTTCTGTTGTCGTGCAGCGCGTGCGATCGTGCGTGTGCGGTGTGTGCGGTGCGTGCGTGTGCGGTTAGCAAGGCGGTGGTTTATGGGGGGAAGGGGGGCTGCGTGCCTCGTCGGGTAGGGAGGAGGGGAGCGGGGTGGGGTCGTTGACTTGGAGGGTAAGCTTCTTCTCCTGGATCTGCGACATGAACATGGACGCCGCCGATTTGATCACCTCCATCGGATTATAGATCACCCGATTCAGCTCGATCTTATTCGCCTCCAACTTGGACAAATGCAACACATCATCTGCACACCACGGCACACACCGCACACACCGCACATGACACGCACCGCACACACCGCACATGACACGCACCGCACACACCGCACACGTGGTGAGTGTTTGGTAGAAGAGGGGGGCGAGGGGGGGGGTGTGTGCGCCGGTACCGGTGATGACTTTCTGGTGTTTGGCGCAGGTGCTGATGGCGTTGACGCAGATCTCCATCTGCCGGAGGCTCTCGCACATCTGCGGCTTCGCGGGCCACTCCACCCCCTCGAGCTGCGCGTGAACCGACGCCAGCTCGTCCTGCAGCAGCGTCACGTTTCCGTAGATCCCGTTGATCTGTGCCCGGTGCGTGCGGTAAGCGTGTGCGGTGGGTGCGGTGAGCGTGTGCGATGAGCGTGTGCGGTGTGTGCAGGAGACGTACGGGGTTGCGGATCTCATGGCATATGGTGTCGATGAACCGCTCCTGCTTGACCCGGAACGCCTCCGCCTCCGCCGCTCGCCTCCGTTGGTGCTCCTGTGTGTGTCGTGTGTGTCATGTGTGTGTGTGTGTGTGTGTGTGTGTGTGTCGTGTCGTGTCGTGTGTGTCGTGTGTGTGTGTGTGAAATTTCCACGTATGAGCGTGTCGTGTCGTGTGTGCCGTGTGTGTCGCGTGTGCGATGATGGTACCTCGGCGTCGCGAAGGGCCGAGAGGCGTTCGTTTTCGCGGCGGCGCTCTTCGGTGACGTCGCGGAATTCGATGACGGCGCCCACAGTGCGTCCGCTCTTGGAGAGGGGCGCCACGGCGCAGATGACCGGAAAGATGGTCCCGTCCTTCCGCACGAACACCTCCTCCACCTCCTGCGCGGCCACCAGCTCCGCCGTCGAGTTGTCGATCGGGCACTCCTCCATCTGCCGCCCCCAATCCCACCACCCGGTCAACCCCTTTGGCCAAACCATCAACCGATCAGAACACGCGCGCGTGTGTCGTGCGACGCGCGCGTGTCGTGTGTGTCGTACGTGTGGTGTGTGTCGTGTGTGTCGTGTGTGCCGCGCGTATCGTGTGTGTGGCGTGTGTCGTGTGTCTGGACGTACGGGGTAGAAGGTGTTGTCGGGCCGCTTCCAGTGGATGGCGTAGTGGAGGGGCTTGTCCTTGATCTCATCAAGGGTGTACCCCGTCACCCGCTCCGCCGCCAAATTCATGAACGTCGGGAAGCCTACAACCACACGACACGACACGACACGACACACACGAGCAACGACACGACACACGACTCAGTGTTCGAACCAACGCAATGAACTGGTGGTGATGCGTGTGTGTGTGTGTGCACCTTTGTGGTCCATCATGAAGAGGCACGAGGCGGCGTTCTGCGTGATGGTCTGCGTGATGTGGGCCTGGTACTCGAGCTCCTCGGCCGTCAGCCTGCGCTCGCTCTTGGAGCTGGTCTGGATCACCTCGAACAGCCCCCGCACACGACCTGCTCGTGCAGCGTGTGCGCCAACGTTAGCCGCACGACGCACACGACACCACACACAGCACAGCACAGCATGCACGGCACGACACCACACCACACACGCGGCACACACAGCACGACAGCACGACACGCACGGGGGGACGTACCGGTGGAGGCCTCGACGTCGGGGATGAGGGTGGCTTGCATCTCCTCCTCCTGGTCGGTGTCGGCGTTGAACATGTAGGGCGGCAGGGGTGGTGGCGCCGGTACGCGCGTTTGGAAGGACAACTGACGGCCCTGCAGACAGGTCTCGATGTGCGGCCGCAGCGTCGACGCGGCGTCCTGACCGCGCACCTGCGAATCGCATGGCGGCGCCGTTTGATTGACGGACGAATGTGAGCGTTCCCGGAACAAGCGCTGCCCGGAGCGCGATGACGAAAAAGACGAAAAAGGCAAATGCCGAAACGCCCGGCTTTGCGCGCGATTCCGAAATCGACTTGAAAAATGTCAATATTGGGACAAAAAAAATAAATAAATAAATGTATCAACAATTGACAAAATTGACAAAAAATACGAATAAAAGTAATTGGCCGTGGTGTATACCTGGGAGAGGGTGCGGCCGATGACTTTGTTGCTCGCGGCGGCGTCGCGGCGCTTGAGCTCGCCGAAGCGCAGGCAGAAGGCCGCGTTGGCAAAGGTGTACTCGAGCGAGGGCACGGAGAGTCGCGCGATCATCACGCCCGGAAACAGCTCGGCGAGCACATCGACCAAGGCCGCCTGCTCCTCCAGGAGCAGATTCGTCTGGATCTGCACCTGCTCCACCAAAGCCGCCGCGTCTGCGTCCTTGACGAAGCCCGACTTGGCAGCGGCGACCACTGCGGTATGCTGCTCGTCAGGAGGCGATGACAGCGAAGCCTCCACAGTGGTGACGCCACGCCAAACCGACCCTGGCCCGCCATCACACGTCAGGAATGTCAGAAATTCTGTTCAAAAAGTCGCGAAAACCCAATCTCTTATTAAAATGAAAGAATAAAAACATCAAATAACTTGCATAACTTGATTTTGAAAAAAGATTGATTGATTTTTTCGCCGGTGTAGCACCCCGCGTGTAAAAGAAAAAAGGGGCGGGGTGGTTCCAGCTCAACCCCC